TTGCTGGGCACAGATGTCGTCTCCTCGCGCCCGCCTGCCGCCTGTGCACTGCTGGCCGGTGTGCGCGTGGCCTCGCCAGACTCAGAATTTGACGGCGATTCTGGGGTGTGCCGCGCGACGGGCCTGGGTGCGACTGAGGGGGTGGGAGCAGCGGTGGCGCAGGCGTTGGGTTTTCGCTGACTGTGTTGCTTGCGCTGTTTCTGACCTCGTCAGAGTCGCTGCCTCCTGGGGTAGTTTTCGATGCTGGTTCTGATGGTGCTGCCTGCGCAGGGCGAGGCACTGTCGGGGCGGCCGCAGGAGCCGCGTCGGTGTCAAAGCGCTTTGCCGTTCGCTCGTCGTTGGTGCGCCCGCCACGCGCAGTTCGTGTTGTCTGGTTCTGTCGCAGCCGCGGCGCTGCCACACGCTGGGCTGTGAGTGTCGGTGTCAATAACGCGCTGTGGGGAGGCGTAGGGAGGAGGCCAGGGCGACAGCCGGCCGTCGAGGGTGTCGAAGCAGAGGACTGACTGCTTTGCACAGGGATGTGCATTGTTCGTTGTTTGAAGTCGATTTGAGGGTTGTTCTTTTCCAGCCAGTCCGCCCCAAGGATGAGAGGTACGACTGGCGTCGATGTGATCAGAGGCTGGATCACCTCACGGTGCTTGCCGAGCGAAAGGCCGACTCTGCATTGCTCGCTGATTTTCAATGGTTGCCCATTGACTGATTGGACTGTGATTGGTGTGGCCATACGTGAACGTTTGACAGACAATTTATTTGCGAACTCGTCATCCATCAACGTTACAGTAGCGCCACTGTCAACCAGAACGGGCGTGCTCACAGGCTGGGACTCGGGACGGTCCAGGTTGCAAACACGAGCTGGAAAAACAAAGGCGCCGTTTTCTTGCCCACTCGTCAGATGGCCCTGGCGGTGGGCTGGGCTTTTCCCTGCTGGGATTGGCCCTGCTGGCCTTGCTGCTGCGGCTCGTCGTCGTCGTCGTCGTTGTCGTCGGCAGCCCAGTGCGCGAACAGGGCGGCAGCGAGCTGCTTCTTGGAGAAGCGCGTGAGGCACCTGCTGGCAATGTGACCCGGCTCCCTGCACTTGTAGCAGAGGCCTTTCGCCAAGCATTCCGCGCGCTCCTTGTCAGTGATTGGCGAAGAGGACGAGCGCTGCGACGGGCCCGGCTTGTTGTTGTGCGCTGCCCTGTTGCCGTTGCCGTTGCGATTGCCGTTACCGTTGCCGTTGCCGCGAGCCGAATTGTTGTAAGTCGCATAGTTGCCACCATTGCGACCGGCGTTGTTGCTGTTGTTGCTGTTGTTGCTGTTGCTGTTGTTGTGACCGCGGTTGTCGCTGTTGTCAAGGGGGGTGTTGTCGCTCACCCTGTTGCCGTTGTTTCTGCGCTTCGGCTCGAATTGCATCGAATACAGGATCGAGGCCTTGATGTTCGCCAACGTCTCATCCAAGGACCAGTTGAGGGCATGGGTGGCGTACACGACGGGCGGCAGAGCTGCGAGCAAGTCCTGCTTGATGCCGTCCTCGGTGATGTTGATGCCGCGAATGCGCCTCAGCCTCTCAACCGTCTCGACCACCTCCTTCACGCTGCGTGCCGTGTAGCGCAGGTCGGCCAGTAGCTGGCGCGCACGCGCTCCAGTCGTTTCGTCGCTGAACTTTCTCTTGAGCGCGGCCAGCAGCTCGTCCGAAGTGCTACCCGGTTTGTCGTCCAGCTCGTCCATGATGAACTCCAGTGCCGAGTCCGACAAGCAGGTAATGAGGACGGTAACCTTGTCCTTTTCAGTCAGTGAGACCATCTTGCAACGATTCGAAAAATTTCTCACAAAACGATCCAGGTTGTCGGCATTGCCATCGAACTTTGACACGCCGAAGAACTTGCACAGGTCGTTAAAACTCATGGAGGCCGTGACGCTGGTGTCTATCTCAGCCAGGATCTCGGCATTGTTTTGCTCGATACCCTGTGCCATTTGCTCGGGACTGAGCATAGACGTGTTGCTATCGGTGTCCGTGTCGCCACTGGCGTTCGAGGGGCCAGCGTCGCTCATGGTGAGATCTTGAAGATTGAGAAAAAAGTGCGAGAAAAGTGAAAACCGCAAAGAACTGAAAAAGGAAAACACGTGAAGATGTGGGGAAAAGATAACAAAGAAAGACGGCCACAGCAGTGCCGAGTGCGATTGCAGTGCTGGGGTCGAAAAGGGGTCTTGATCACTGCGGTGTCTCGAACACAGCAGTCGTGGTGGGGAATGTGGAAGAACGAAGCAAAGTGAAAACAAAAATGCAAGGAATGAGGGGAGAAAGAGAAGGAAGCGAAGAAAAATGAAATGAAATGAGAAAAAAAAATGAAAGAAACGTGGCAGAACAGAAAGAGAGAGAAAACGAGTCGTGATCACTGCGGCGTCTTGAGATGCAGCAGTCGTGGCAGTCGGGGAGAAGAGTCTGTCGATGAACACTGGGTGACAAAATGTTGATTCGTCAAATTGTCAGAGTCAGTGCAAAGGTACGTCGATTGTCAGGCAATGTTCATGAATAAAGGTATATTGACGAATGAACCATTCCCCGTATGGGAGACATGACAAACAATACAAGGTAATGCATGCAAGTAAGTAGGCATGCCAGTGGGGCATGACACGTAGGAGGAATCGGAGCGGAAGGGAGTTGGATGGGTGGCTGAGATGAGGAAATTGCCGGAGTGGCGGGAACTGCCGGAGAGGCAGACGATGACGATTGGCTGGGAAGTTGAGAGGGAATTGCCGGAGGGGCGGAAGACGAGGATTGATTGGTAGCTGCTGGAGGAGCAGTGGAGGTTGCCGAAGGGGCAGGAGGAGTTGCCGAAGGGGCAGGAGTTGGCGTAGACGCAGCGGCGGCAGCGCGCGTTTGGACACCGGGAACAGACGAAGTACTCATAGCGAAGGCCAAGAGAAGGAGAAGTGAGATAGCAAGAGGGAGTCTAAACTCGTGCTAGGGGCAAGAAGAGCAAAGGGGGACAAGAGGAAGAAGGCAGGAGAGAAGAAAGACTTGAGAAATGAAGACTTGGAAAATGAAGACTTGAGAAAAGAGAAAGATGAAGAAATGAAGACTGATTGATAATCAGAAAAAGGGTTTTGCTTAAATAGGAAACCAGAAGGGAATTACGCAATTAGCCGAAACGGAGATGATGCAATATTGCGCAATCGGGAATTCCCCAGGTGAAATTTTTCCCCGGCGAATTTTTTTTTTTTTTTTAGTTTGTCTTCCCTTGTGATGGATGGATGCCGCAGGATGCGATAGAAGCAGGAATGGTAGAAGTACCAACACAGACAGAGTGTGCGTGTGAGAGGGAGAGGGAGAGTCACAGGACTACCCCTTCGAGAGTCGAAGTTGTGGTAGTGCGAAAATGACGCAAGAAAACGCACGGATTGCGCAATCGAATGAGGGAGTTCCCCAGCCGTATGTACGCACAAGAAATACCCCAGGAAGTCGACAGATATCGACAGAGAACACCAGACACCGGGGAGATACGGTGTTGATGAAGGAGAGGGAGAAAGAAGCGAGGAGAAAATTCGAGAAGCGAAGAGAAAATTCGCGAAGCTTGGAAAAGCGAGTGGAAAACGCGAACGGGGATGACGTAAGCGCGGACAAGAACTTCTTTCACAGAACCAACAGGTGAGTAAGGGGCTGAGTCGTCAAACTGTTAGGATCCCGGACTGGACAGGGAAGGGTACTCAAGTGTTGGCGCAAGGCAGGACAAGGAATTGGGGATTTTGGGGATTTAATAAAGACAAGACAAGAAAGGATCCAAATCGAATCAGGTTGATCAAATTTTGACGACTGACAGACAAACATATTTGTCATCATCAACTCAGAAAATCAGACAAGACAAATCAGAGCAAGATAGAAGAAAAACAGGAAGAAAGACAAGGGTGAGAAAACATGCAAGAAATCATTCAAAGTGGCAGGTTGCATCCAGAAACCTGACAAGTGTCAGGACCCGCAGGCTCTGCGGTCCCGACTGGGTCGTTCTTTGCTAAGAAGACTCGGCGTTGATGTCTTTGTATTGTTTGTTTGCATGCATTTGGAATTGCAGTTCAGTCTGCAAAGTGAAATACAGCACACTTTTCTACAACAGCATTGCCTGGCTAACCCTACCAAGGTCTCATATGATGTTAAACATATCCGACATAAAGATACTCAAGTACGTCATCGCTGGGACGCTCGCTGGGTTGAACTTGAACCTCCCAGCCCTCGCGCATTTGTCGGATGACATGATGCCTCGCTGGCCAGATTGTCGCAAGTCGAATGGTCGAGTCGACGAAAGTCGGCTTCGCAGCACATTCGTATCGAACAACACCTTGCTCATCTCGAACAGTCAAGTAAAACACGCAGTTCTGTTTCGACTTGCCTTTTGTGCTCTTGTCCCGAAGCACCCGAATTCCTTTCATGCGGATCGAATTCCCATTGATGCTTTGAGGCACTGTCACTTTCAGAACACCATCGGCGGTCCCGCCAATCAAATTCACTCGCTCCACGCCTTGCCAATAAAATGCCTCGTCCATGATGAGATCAGCAATCTCAGCTGGTAGTGCAGGTAGAGATGCGGACTGATTCTCCAGCTCCAACCCGCTGGTCAGCATTCGGAACACGATCTGCAGGTCTTCAGCAGTTGCCAATCGTGGACGTAAGGCAAACGCAAGTGGGTTTATCTGGTAGTTGAGTCTATGCGACGAACAAGCAGCAGGATGCATCAGCAGTCAGCGAAGCCGCTCCACTGCTTGGAGAAGCATTGAATGAGCATCAAGGGCTCGAAACACATACTTCAGTTCAGTCAAAGGGCGTGCGTCCTGAATTGCCTGAGCCGCAACCTTGCCAATGCAATTAAAAGCTAGACTGTTTCTCGACAAGTAAGCAACGAGACAAGAGGCAAGTTCTGATCGATTCTGACTTAAAGTTCAATACGAGCAACGAGCAGAGCAACATACTTGAGCTTCTTCACCGATGTGTTCACCTTGAGAGCTTCAGCAATCGCCTTCGCTCCTTCATCACCAATCTGATTCTCGTACAGACTGTCCATTTTCATAGGTGAGCTCTTTAGTGCCCTCTGTTAAATCACCCAAGCATCTGTCAAAATACATGTAAGATGACTTACTTGAGCTCGGTCAATGACGTGTTCAATTTGAGTGCTTCAGCAATCGCCATCATGCCAAGATTGCCGATCTGATTCTCACCCAGGCTGTCCAAGTCCCATCTCTCATTGAGCACTCTGATTACCCTCTGCTGAATCACCCACTCACATACATCAGTCAAAGTGAGATGCCTTACTCGAGCGCAGGCAACGTCGTGTTCACCTTGAGTGCTTGAGCAATTGCTCGCGCGCCTGCATCGCCAATCTGATTGTCACCAAGACTGTCCTAGACATCAGCAAAGACTCTGAATTCCCTCAGATGTACCACCACGCACATTCATCGGATCAAGCGAGATGACTTACTTGAGCGAGTCTTCTTTTTTGTGGTGATTTTTGGGGTCGTCATAGAATTGGGTGTCAACTACCGCTGCTCCTCAGGACTCGGGTGCAGCGGCATCCCGTCGCCCAATCAGCATGGCGATGTGATGGCCTCGGAAACTGGTTGTCACCATCATTCAAGCCCCGAGCTGGTAACTCGGGCAATACGGGGTACGCGGCTTCTCTCTCTACCATCTCAACCCATCTCGCCGCCACGCGGCACTCTCCATCGTCCTGCCCTCGCGGCAGGCCCCGCCCGTCACCGGGCACGTCCTCCCTGTCTTCCAGACAGACCAAACGTCCTCTGCCTTCATGGCTGAACACAGTGGCTGGCCCCCACGCCCCTGTCTTCGCGTCGGCGAGCTCCAGCTCGTCACGTTGTTCCGATCTCCATTTTCTTTTCTCCTCTCGTGCTGCTTCCTGCCAGGTCCCGAGGCACAGTGGCCCACCTTCAACTCTTCGTTCCCGCTACTGATGCACCAAGGTCTCTCTCACTCCCGAAGAAGTGGTCCACCAGACCTTGGAGATCCGGACCAATGAACGTCTTGCCACGCAACTGGTTGCCCTCGCGTACACCTAGTACCCGCGACTTGTGTGGTGAGCGGTTGGTTTCGATCTGAATTGTCGCTCCTTACGACAGTGTGCTGTCCCACCGCCTGCCAGCCGTCTACTTGTTAGTGAACCGAAATGGCTAGCAACATGTCTTTCGTGGTGTATAGGTGGGGAAAGCCTGATCCATCCACCGTCAGCTAGGCTGATCATCTGTTCGAGTTCCTCTGTGAGCTCTTGAGCACTCCTAAGCATGCCTTTTTTGGTGTGTTATTATGCGACATCCAACTGTCTCATATCCTTCCTACGTTCTTTTTCTTTGTTATTCGTAATAAAGCTTTTAGACGAAAAAAAAAAAAAACTTACTTGAGCCAAGTCAGAGTCGTGTTCACTTTGAGTGCTTCAGCAATAGCTTGCGCTCCAATATCGCCAATCTTTTTGCTCAGACTGGTCGACCCTCCAGCAGTGAGCACTCTCCATGCTCTCTTCGGAATATTCATCAGTAACTCTGAGATTGCTTACTTGAGCACAGTCAGCGTCGTGTTCACTTTGAGTGCTTCAGCAATAGCCTGCGCTCCAGCGTCGCCAATCAGATTCAGCCACAAACTGTCCATTCCTTTCATCAGTGAGCACTCCTGCTGTCATGTATCACCCACTCACATGCATCAGTTAATATGAGATGCTCACTAGAGCCGAGTGACTGTCGTGTTCACTTTGAGTGCTTCAGCAATCGCCTGCGCTCCAGCATCGCCAATCTGATTTTTGTCTAGACTGTTCATGCCTCCATCCGTGAGCACTCTGTATTGTCACTGGATGTCTCACTCACATGCATCAGTTCAAGCGAGATGCCTTACTCAAGCGTGGTCACAGTCGCGTTCACCTTGAGCGCTTCAGCGATCGCCTTTGCTCCAGCTTCACCAATCTGAATGTCCAACAGACTGTCCACTCCCAACTAGTGAGTGCTCTGATTGCCCTCCGATGGATCATCCTCAGTCAAAGTGAAATGAAATGACTCACTACAGCTTGGTCAGCGTCGTGTTTACTTTGAGTGCTTCAGCAATTGCCTGCGCTGCCGCGTCGCCAATCTGATTTTGGCACAGACTGTCCATCCTCTCCGTCAGCGATCCCACCACTGGATTGCTCAATCACATGCATCAGTTCAAGCGAGATGCCTCACTTGAGCCAAGTCAGCGTCGTGTTCGCTCTGAGTGTCTCGGCAATTGCCCGCGCGCCTGCGTCGCCAATCTGATTATCACCAAGACTGTCCTAGACATTCAGCGAAGACTCTAGATTACTGACTTACATGCATCACCAAACGTGATTTTGCCTACCCGAGCGCAGTCACCGACGCGTTCACCTTGAGTGCTTCAGCAATCGCGTTCATTCCACCTTCCCGTATCTGGTTCCTCTGTAAGCTGTCCTTTGTCCGTCAATAATGCATCTCAATGCGACTATTGGATCAGCCACTCACATGCATATTCAAGCGAGATGCTTTACAAGAGCTGAGTCAGCGTCGTGTTCACTTTGAGTGTCTCAGCAATCGTTCGCGCGCCTGCATCGCCAATCTGATTCTTCCCCAGACTGTCCTCGACATCAGCGAAGACTCTGTATTGTCACTGGATTACTCGCTCGCATCCATCAGTTTGAGCGAGATGCCTTACGCAAGCGTGGTCACAGTCGCGTTCACTTTGAGTGCCTCAGCAATCGCCCTCGCGCCAGCATCACCAATCTCTTCCTCTGGCAGGCTGTCCTCCATGCAGTACAGTCAATACACGCGCAGTCACACTGTTGCAATAGCTTCGGCTACTAACCTCAGTTCTCCTCTCGCATTCTTGACTTTATCATACAACTCGCGCTGTCTCCGAGTCATACTCCGATACGACAGCATGTTGGCAAATTAAAAAAAAAAAAAAACCAACGAAAGAAGACTGAAAAACTCAACTGAGCTGGATGGAAAGCTGAAAGAGAAGGCAAAAAGACGAAGCGAACACGTTCGAATGTCGCTTTGAAACTTGAAGAACAAACAGGGGGAAAAAAAAACCAAAGAAGAGCTCCGCATCTAATTTGTCGTTGTCCGATGCTGGGACAGCCCAACCCATATCTGTTAGCTCAGTGCTCAATTTTTATTTCGTATCTACCTTTTCCTCCCTCGCGGGTGTAATACTCGATGCCGGAACATGCTTTTGTCAGAGACAAGTAATCTCCCAGGCTGTTGGCCGCCTTTCAATAATTTCTTGCCCCCCCCCCCAAAGCCCTGTCTCGTTTTCTTCGAGGCTAAGGAAACGCAATCCGACCCCCGAGCGCTCATCGCGGCTTTTTCAACGCGTTGATTGTTGTCGTTTAAAAGTCGTTGGTTTGGTTTGTTGCTGCTGAGAGGTTTTCTTGGAACAATAACGAGGTGTCGCACGGCAACACACAACTATTGAATAGACATCAGGAATGCATCTCGTCATTCAAGCTGAACGAAAATCGCTGCTGCTTCCACTCTCCCGTTTCCGAATCGCGCGTATGTTCATAAAAGACGGAGTGGCCGTTGTGATCAACGACCTGCACGGCAATCGAACGTGTCCCGTATGCAGCTTCTGGAAATTCGACAAACACGGGTGAAAGCTTGCGTTCCCATTCGATTGGCACACCCGTTTTCGGCAATTGGTCATCCGAGCATCTGAAAATGCACAAGGGGTCACACCAGGTCCGTGAAAATGAACGAAAGAAGAAAAGAAGGAGAGTTAGAAAGAAAACACCAGTCCACCAACTACATCCAATTCAACCATAAACATGCACCCATTGCGTTCGCTCACGCATGCAAGCAACGTACTTTTGTTGATCTCTCATGGCACTGGCCAGGTGAGCTGCTACTTGATCGGCGTCGGCATTGGCACGGTTGACGGCAGCATCGATGTTCGCTTTGCCTCGGGTTACTTTTGGCCACGGCTCATCCAGTACTCCGTTGCTGACACCATGCAGCACACAGGGCTGCACACTCTGATAATCCTGGTTGACGCGATTGGACACGTATTGGAAGTTTCCGGATTGGATGTCGCCAACCACCAAGTTGAATCCCGAAAACTCGTGTCGCTCGGATGCCAGCGAGTGTGCAAACTTGTCAGGAGACGCTTGCTGATCTACTAGAAAGTTGGCGCACAGCCCACCTGGCAAGGACAATAATAATAGAACAAAGACCACACATTCATTGATTGAGGAATGGGTGTTTGGCCAAAAAAAAAAAAAAAAACCAAAAAAAAAACAAACAAAATAAATAAAAAAGAGCCCTCTGACACCCAGCCAGCCTGCCCAAAGTGGAAAAAAGGATCACGACATCGTAAAATCAGACGATAATGCAATAATGCGTTACCACGGCCGCGGAGCTCTGGAGGCGGCGATGCTTCGCGGCAATTTGTGAGGAAGGCTACGCGCCCGTCAGTGGTTGTGCCGAGCCACGTTCCGCCCTCGCGCCCTGGCTCTCGATCGATCCCTATCACCCACACATAGACACACACACACACATACATACATACATACACGCAGCGAGTCAGCAAATCCCGACACACTTGGCTCGAGCGATCGATGACAGCGCAGCAACCAAGCCAAATTTCGCATGACGCACCGCCGAGTACATGCGGCGCCTCCTTCCAGAAGTGCGCAGGATCGGTTGGGCGATTGAAGAACTCGTCGCGATTGGCCGCCATCACAAAGCGGAAGCGGCAGCACTGCGGCCCACCAGCGCACGCTTTGAAGAAGACAATGCACATTGCAGTCAAAAAAAAAAAAAAAAAAAAAAAGAAAGAAAAAAAAAAAAAAAAAAAAAGACTGGAGCAAATTTCCTCCGCTCTTCATTGCTCTGAAAGGTAGGAGACAAGAGAGAGAGAGAGAGACAAAGGGGAGGGGACACTACAAAAATTACACATTGAAGAACACGGCTCACCCCGCTGCCCAAAAAGGGGAATGGCTCAGTTCTCTGTCTCACAATTTCGCGCGCTCTCGTTTTTGCCAATTTTTGGAGTGCTATCCACATCGAGCAGCCGCCGAGTTCCAACTGTGCTCAAGCCGTCCTGGAGAAGCGAACATGGCGAAAGATCGATTGGCCGAGTTGCGCGAGTTCGCAGTAAGACCAACGCTCAAGAACAATGCTGTGAACACGTCGGGGCGGTTGCGTTCTTTTTTTTGTTTTTTTTTTTTTTCAACTTGTCGGTTTTGTTGCACGGGGTTGTTGTCAGCTTTGCTTCGAGTTCAGTGTTGAACCTAGCGCAAGCGTTACACTACTTGATGTGCAGTTAGGGTGAATACATGTGTGCCTCTGGCTCGCAGAAGCCGGAACCCCGAGTGGTGAGGGGGGTGTGCTGCGGGCGAACCTGTTGAGGTTGCTCACCTGGCTCCCGTCATTTTGATTTTGGAGCAGAGTCACGCAGAGCAAAGTACCAACACCACTCCTGCCGGGCCAAATGCACCAGCACCGTCGCCGCCACTTGCATCTCAGCAGCCAATCCCAGCGACCGGAGTCACTGCCACGGCGCCAAATCCCAGTCAACCCCCAGCTCCGCCAACTGGTCGCGCCGCTCGTGTGCTAGCGCAAATCAAAAGCAAGCTTCTGCCGCAAAAGCCCGAGGATGCACCTCCTCCTATCTTGATGCAGAATCTACTGACCGACGAGGAGGAGATCATGAATGACTTTATGGCTCGGACCAATCTCGTGCGGGCCAGCATAGCCCGAATCGACGCCGCGGTTGATCGTCTACAGCAAGATCAAGACGCGTCCCTGGCGAGTGTCAATCATGAGATCACCCTGAGTATGACTTTCGCCCCACCGTTGTGTTGGATGTCCTCTCTCTTTCTCAATGCTCGTTTTTCTTTTTGTTTTTCTTTCTGTGCAACGCGCTTGCATTTTGATTTGGCTCGGTCGACAGATCTTCGACAGAGCATCGACCGAACTACTAGCGCCATTCAGCTGCATTCTTCTGACACCAGGACACAGTTGAAAGGTAAAATGGGGAGCGAGGATAAGTTCGTTGGTCCGGTCAACTCCGACGGGCATCGTCTCACCATCCTACGGCTGCAATAGAATTGAGCACTTTCAAGTCCCATCCCAGTCTCAATGAAGCGCGCCGGAAGATTGTGAACAATCAGGTATTGTTCTCAAACAGCTCCGGATGCGCTTTTTTTTTTTGGTTGTTCGGTTGTTCGGTTGTTCGGTTGTTTGGTTGGTTTTTTACTTCTCTCCATTGCAACTCACACATTCACTGCCGGGATGTTTCAGCGCTCGTTGCTGCTGCAAAAGTTCATGGAGAGTCTCACCAGGTTCCAGGAATCGCAAGTGCGACACAAGAAAATGTATCGCGATCGCATCCAGCGACAAATGCTGATTGGTACACGTTGCACCTCTCTCGCTTTGAGAATTGTTCCTCCGTTGCCCAATTGGTCATGCCACTCACCATCTCGTTTGTATGACACTCAGTCAAACCTGATGCATCTCCCGAAGAAGTGGATGCCGTTGCGAACGATTTGAACGAACCGCCTGCGCTCTTCCAGCAACAGCTCACCGACGAGTTCAAAGACACGCGGGAGGCGCTTGTTGACATTCAAGACCGCCATCGCGAAATCGAGCGTCTGGAGCGCAGTATGCTGGAACTCACGGGGCTTTTTGCCGATCTTGCAGTTCTGGTGGAAGAGCAAGGGCAGGCGTTGGACTCGATCGAACTCAACATGGCACAAACCGAAGCGGCCGTGTCTCAAGCAACAACCGAGCTTCGAACGGCTCGGCGCATCCAACGCAAAATTCGCACCGTAAGTTCCGAGAAAGAGAGCGAAACAGGCTCCAATTGATTGCCTCGCTTGCTGACGCTCCAACTTGGCTTCTTCCCTCACGCGCAACACACACAGAAACAAATCATCATTGGAATCATCATCCTGTGCATCATTGCCGCGATTGTGATTCCCATCGTGTTGACAGCGACTTGAGTTTGCTCAAAAGCACCGAATCAACAATAAATAAACACTGAGTGGTTCATCCTTCTCATTTGACAATGAATACGACGCTGTCCTCTGCGAAGAAAGAATGTCGTCAAGAACTGTCAATCGATATCACCGAAGATACAACAACCACAACCGCAATCAACAAGCAGAGACGCAGCAACTAACACCCGCGATGTAACCGGCAAAAGCCAATCACAAAGCTGGGAAAGGTTTACGAAGCAGCTCGCATCTTGATAATCTTGTCGAGAAGCCCATTTACTTGGTTGTGGAGCACGGGTTGGCCACGCTTGGTGCGTTGTTTCATGAGCGACGTCGTTTCCCGTCGCTTGTGGCGCTGCTCTTTTATCCGTTGCTCCCGCTCTGCGCGCTCGCGCTGCCTTTCTGCGAATGCCGCCTCGCGTTCTAACTTGTCCTGCTCAAACTGTGCTCGTTCCTTGGCAAACCCGACCGGCTGCGAGGAGCAACAACGGCAGCATCAACAAAAAAAACAAAACAAAACGTTCGGAAGCGTGAGCGTGAATGGCTTCTGCAAGTGCATCATCAACCGAAAAATAAAAATACGCGCAAACAGACAGACACAACCATACCACAGCTGCCCTGTCCGAGTGCCTCTGATGCTTGCCGCCAATGGTTGTTCGCGTATCATCGTCATCTTCGTTGTCATCATCTCGATCGTCGTCGACTTCTTGATTGTCGTTCTTCAAGGACCGTGATCCACGAGCACTGCCATCTAGATCTTCGTCCTCATCATCGTCGTCATTGAGGTCGCCGCCATGCACCGCTGCCAGTGCTGCACGCGCGCGTTCTCGCTCAGCGTTGACCACAGCCTGCGCATCGCGCTCTGCGTATTTGTCCTGCCGCTGCTTGCGGTCGAGCTCGACGTCCTTCTCTGCCTCTCGCTCCTCACCACGCAGCGTCTGCGTTGTTGGGCGACCTTCCTTGCGCAACAGCTTCTTGTACGCAGTGACGGTGCGTTGCTCCATTGCCGAACGTCTTGCCGCGGCTGCACACACACACACACAACAGACATACACACACACTCGTGAGACACACACACACACACAATCAGAGCGACCGACACATCACTTTCAAGCAGTCCCAAGCAGTCCCAAGCAGCAAAGGGGCAGTCCACGGTCCACATGGAGATGCGAACGCAGTCCCGACTCTCATCTCTCATCGAGCCTCGTGCTGCTTACTCGCTGTCACAAACTGCTGCTGCGACTTGCCAACACCAGCGCCGCCACGACTGCCGCCACGTCCGAACATTGGCTGGGGACGACCGCCGCCTCCGCCGCGAGAAGCACCGCCGCGAAAGCCACCGCCACCACGCCCGGCACCACGACTGCCGCCTCGACCACCGCCTCGACTAAAGCTGCCGCCTCGTCCACGACCACCACCACGTCCGTCTGGTCGGCCCATGTTGGGTTAGTATTAAAAACAAAAAAAAAAAAAAAAAAACCCCGCAAGTCAAGAACGATGAAAAGGACGACTGAAGATTGTTGGACGGCTGATTGTGTGCGCTTCGCTTGGATTCTCTGATTCATTGAGCGCATGATTCAAAATGCGGTGAATAGTTGGAATTGCATGTGCAGAGACTTCCTATTCAGCAGGAGACGATCACGGGGAAGCGAGGAGAGGGCAAGGGGCCGAAGGCTGAGAATGGCCAATCTCAGTTGGAGATTTGTGTAGTTTTGAGCTCTACCATGTATGGATCTGCCGTAAGAGCACGACTAGACCCTGCGTTATGGCTGTTTCGAGACCAGCATCGGACTGCAGGCTGCACGGTTTCGGCTCACTCGTCGTGACTCTCGTTTCATTGCCTTTTGGATTATCTTTCTCTTCCTCTTTTTCTTTTTGACTCTTCGAACTCGGAAAGCAATCCTGGTTTTTGTTTGTCTTTTTGTTTGTCTTTTTGTTTGTCTTTTTGTTTGTTTGTTTCTCGTCCTTGAAAATTCTCGTCAAATTGGAGATCTTGAAATTTCCAATCTTTTTTTTTTTTTTTTTTTTTTTTTTTTTTTTCTTCCATTACGCTTTCGATCTCTTCTTCTTCTTCTTCTTCTTCTTCTTCTTCTTCTTCCTCTTCTTCTTCTTCTTCTTCTTCTTCTTCTTCTTCTTCTTCTTCTTCTACGATGAGAGGCGCAGGTCCAACCTCGGTCGCTGCCGTGGCCGCCTCGTCACAAGCTCAAGCTCAAGCTGCATCGTCGCCGCCCCGCCAACCAGCTCCTGCTGCTGCTGCTGCCACTGCGCCAACGACCCCAGCCACAACTGCTCCTAGCACTGCTGGCGCCACTACTACTACTGCTGCTGCTGCGCCGGCCGCGTCCGTCACGCTGTCCGTGTCGATCGCTGCGACGGCGGCTGCGGCGGCTGCGTTGCCGAGCCCGCTCGAGTCCCTGCTGCCGCCCGAGATTGTCGCCCGCCCGGTGCCGCTGGTCGCGCTGGTCGGCGTGGAGGCAGTCGAAGGCCCCTTCCCGCGCGTGTCGCTGCAGGAAGCCATCCACTCGGAGCGGCTGGTCGAGCAAATCCCAGTCACCTACCGCCCAGTGTCCAAGGACGTCCTGCTCCTTCTGCCGCAGCGCAAGGAGCGCAGGGATGTCGAGTCGTACTCGCCGCCGGGCATTCTCAAGGGCAGCTGGATCCACAAGCACCGCCAGGTTATTCCGGCCGTCGCGGCTTACTTTGTCGAGCTCGAGTGGGACGATCCGCAGTGGGCCGCCTGCGAGCAAGAATGCGCCGCCGTCTTTGACAAGCTTCGGTATGCCAACTTGGTGCTGAGATTTGGTTTGTCGGGGAGAAAGAGAGGTCGATATTCAACTTCCCCATTTGACCTGATGTTTCGTTTCCTTTTTTTTTTTTCTGGTTCCCCTTTTTCCGCAGACAAAGCACCGCTGGTCGAGCTACACGACACGTCCTCGTCCTCGTACAGCGAAAGCACGATCGACCCATGCCACCTCTGTTCGTGGACGAGCGCAGCAACAGCATGCGTCGCGCTTGCCAGATTCCGCTCGTGCTCTCCCTCTCGTTCGCCAAGCCTGACTTGCCCGCCATCAAGCAAAACGTCGCCAAGCTCGAGAAGGCCCTGATTGACATGGCGTATGCTTACTACCGCGACGAAGCCAAACGCCTCAAGCAGCGCAAGGAGCGGCTCAACAAGTCCTTGCAGCAAGGCATGCTTGCGCGTCTCTTTTTCAAGCTGGCCTACTTTGCAGAAATGCGCTCGGATGGCAAGGCTGCAATCAAGTACTATGGCTCCTCGTATGCCTACCTCAAGGAACTCGCAGAGCGAGACAAGAATGGCATGGCAGCAGCCATGCGCGCTTCGATTGTTGGCACAGACGCTTTGCCGGCAGGACGCGTCAGTCTGGATCTCTCTGGCTCCACCATCAGTACGGGCAGCGCTGGGGGAAGCAACAATAACAGCACTAGCTTTAGTCAGCCGCCAGCGGCAGGACCAGCAGCACCCGGCATTCCTCATCCGCTGCATCCGCTGGCCGGCTCGCCGCTCGCGCAGCGCTTGGACAATCCCTCGCCGGCGACTCCGCCTGTTGGTTTCAACTCTAGCGTTGGAGCCGTCGTGCCAGGTCTGTCTACCGTGCCAAGTGTGACGGCTCAAGCTCAGCAGCACCAACCTAACGCGGCCCCTTTCATGTACAATGTATCGGCTGGATCAGCCGGTGGTCCCATTCTGATCAACACGGGTCTCGCTCCGCCAAGTGCGTCCAGCAACCTGGGTATTGCACCGATCGCTTCCCTAACGACCAACCCGGCTTTGTTGAATCCAAACTTTGGCCGCTTCCCGTTGGCAGAGGTCAAGGCTGTGGCCGGCTTGATCAACTACAAGTTGTGCAGGCTGCATTTCATGTTTAACTTTGCTGATGCGCTGGACCAGTTCCGCAAGCATGTTGCAAACTATCGCGGCATTGTCGGGCGTCCCGAACTCGCGTTTGAGCACAGTGCATGGCTGGGTCGTCAGTACCGTGTGTTTGCCGAGCTGTTTGAGAACGCCTTGGCCTACAACTTGGTCCCGACAACCCAATCGCAGCACCCTGGTTTCTACTACCGCCAGGCGGCAGTCCACGCCATGGACGAGAAGGCACACGCCGCTGTGCAATGCGCTTCGGTCAAGCCGCTCTTTGATCAGCTTCGCGCATCTGCCCCTGCTGCTTCCTCGACCGCCTCGTCCGCTGATCCGCGAGGACGCGCTGGCTCCTTGGTGAATGCCCTTCCTTCGCGAGAAGAGTTTTCCATCGTCGAATATTATGGCCACCTGCCCAAGGTGACGAACACGAGCACTTTGTGCAAGACCGAAGAGGACTCGACCGTTCTCAAGGCCATTCTGGCCTCGAGCGACGAAGACCGCCGCAAGCTGGCCGAGCTGCTTGTGGATCACTCTGGCCTCATCATCACCCTGCTGTCGATGGCTCGTGAGCATTTCAAAAAGATGCGCTCGGCTCGCATGACCCTCCATATGGCCGTGCACATTGCCCAAGAGTACTGCCAAGCTGGAGAACACGAGCGTGCTCTCAAGTTGTTTGAGCGAATCGCTGTAGATTACCGCAAGGAGCGGTGGTGGCCAGTTCTCGAGTCGGTGCTCACAGCGTCCCTTGCGTGCGCCTATCTCATTGGCAGCGTGCAAGATTTTGTCGTTCTCTCGCTCGAGCTGATTGCCAGTCTGACAAAACATGCGCCGCAGCGCTCGATTCGTGCTCAGGAGAGTCTCATGCGCGTGCTGTCCAACCAGGTGCCATTCCCGCCAGAGCCTTCCGAGCTGGTGCTCATGCCTCTCGCCCTGAACGACACGCCTCCGAGCCTGCCTGCTGCTGCGGGCTCTGTCCAACCTCCGTTCCGAGGCTCCTTGGCATCGCCGCAAGCTCTCGCAGCTGCCGGAGAGAAGTGGACTGCGCTGCTCAACAAGCCAGAGCACGTTGACATGGGTCTTGCAGGCGTGATTCCATTTATCGAGTGCAAGGTGATTTTTGCCGCGCCGACCAGCCCCAGCGACGCGCCCGTAGTCATGCACCTGGCCGTCGTTTCTCGATGCCCACTGGCTGTCGAAGGCTCTCGCCTCAATCTCAAGTTCAATGTTCCAGGCTACGCCGTCTCCATTGTGAACGAGACAGATCGCGCTCAAGCCAGTGCCGTTCGCGATGCAGCTCGAACCAAGTCCCGCAGCGCCTCGATTGCTAGTGAAGGCGCGCGTCGCCGGCACGAAACGCAAGTGTTTGATCTTGCGGTGCCGTTCGTCGATCAGGACACTTCCATTCCCACCACCATTGCTGCCGACTTGACCTTCAGTCCCGATCAACCCAAGCTTTTCCGCTTGCAATTCCTTCCCCTCGACAACTCCGACCGTACTCTTGAGGTATGTCGCATTCATGTTCTGAGTTTTTTTTTTGTTTGTTTTTGGGTTTTTGTGCTGTAGCTTGGGCGATGCCACCGCTCATTTTGATGGTTTTTTTCATATTTTTTGGACGCGCTTCTTCTCATCTAGTGCATCGAGGCCAGCATTGTGATTGGCTCGGCCCAACGGAGTGTGACCCTGCGCTTCAACATCCTCGAGCGCATCCAGCGCGCTCTTCAGGCCGCACCAACGCACTGGACCACGGCCGAGTTGGAACGTACTCCCTGGCCCGAGCTTGTAGAGCGGCCATCCACGAAAATCGCAACGCGCGAGTCGCAGATGGACATATCCATCACGCATACGCCTCCGGCGTTGGTCAACGAATTCTACCCAGTCAAGCTTGTGTTTACCAGTCGCGAAAAGCTCCCAATTTACAACGTGTCGGTCCATCTTGAATTTTTGCAACATCGCGATGCAACGCAAGGCTGGACATCAGGTATGCAGCTGATGCGATTTGGGGTTGGATACAGATTTCGGGTTGCCCTTTCTCACTTATCTCTTCGCCCCTTTGCTTTGTCATGCTTTTCTTTTTTTGGCACACCGTGCATGCCCAACACAGATGGCTCCATTTGCTTGACCCCAGAGCTTGCCAAAGGCGAGTCGTACCGCACTCGGACTATTGCCCTGGAAAAGATGGAGCCTGAGGCTAGTCAAGAACAGCTAGTGTACTTGTTCAGTCCGAAGGATATTGGCGAGCAAATCCTGACTGTGAAGGTGCGTTCAGTTGAAGTAGAGTTGCGCCCTGTCCTTTTTTTTTTTCTTTTCTTCTTCGCCTTTTCCCAAATGCTTTGGCTGATTTTCGTTTTGGTGCCCGGAACGCAGATGAGCTACAGCGTGGACGCTGTTGCAGATGGCAAGCGCATGTTTGCATGCACTTGCCAGAAGGAGCACTTGCTGCGAGTTCCGTTTGTGCTCCCTTTCACGCTGCTCGTCAAGCTCGCCACCGCCAAGTTTGAGCCGATTGACGTCAAGCTTGACTCGGTGTCTCCCCGCGACGCACTCTTGCTCACGACCGAAACCCAGTCCGTGACACCTTGGCCCATCTCGATTGTCAAGACCGAGCTCATTGTGGTATGTTGAGGGGTCGATGCAAACAAGCAGATGGTTTTTTTTTTGCGGGAGTCGACCGTGCAAGAAAATGCCGAGCATTCATGCCCTCTTCATCTCTTTGCCGATTTGACAGGATACAAAGGCGTTGCGTTTGGAGGGCGCGCTTCCTCGCAACGAGCCCACTTCCCTCAATCAAGGCGACACAATGTCCGAATCCTTTGCCCTTCGAGTCGGCAATCCCAGCGTTGCGTCTATTTCTTTGGGCTACTACAAGATTCATTGGCTCCGGTGAGTGTCGTTGCGTTTGTTGCTTCTGGTTGTCTTCCCCCCACAACCAAGTGGCTTTGACGGTCTTGGACCTTGCTATTCACTGTCGTCATCCCAATTTTCTCTAGACGTGATCGGAATCCAATGCTTGCCGATCAAGGCGGAGTGCAATCAGACCCATCACCTTCGGTCACTGCTATTGCTCTGCCTCCGGTCAATGTTGCCTACAAGGCCATCTCGATTGTTCCTCGTGAGTAGCAGCCTTGTTTGCATTCCTCGCCGACGTTCAACGCACTCACATGTTTCTTGTCGTCTTGTCCAAATCCCGGGGTACAGAAATTCCCGCAAGCGGCCACCTTAACTCGCCTCTCGAGGTCTCATATGCTATTGTCAATCACACTCCCCTCACCCAAGAAATTGAGCTGGTGATGGAGTCGAATGAGTCCTTCATGTTCTCTGGCCTGAAGGCAACGCACTTCCGCGTTCTGCCGTCTGCATCCACTTCGGTGACGTACAACTTGTACCCTTTGCAGCCTGGCCGGCTCCCATTGCCTCATCTTTCCGTCAAGTCTGTCCGTCAAGACGCCGAGTTGACCTTCCGAGCCATGCCTGAGCATGTGTTCATCTTGCCTCCTCGTCCTACCAATGCTCCAGCAGCGGATTTGGCGCGATGAGATGCATTTCATGGAGATGAATGGATTTGAATAGAATTGTTTAAAACTGTTGATTCCTCTGGCATTTCGGGTGTCATTGATTTCATTCATGCCATCACCACCTGATCGAGAGCATCAAACAACGTGCTGGCCACAAAGTTATTGTCGACAACCGTCACAAGCCAGTAAGAGTGGGCGATCGTCGAGAGCAGTGCACGTTCCGTGCTACTCGCCGGGTACAACCGAGCCCAGTGCCGTTGCCAAAGCGTAAACGCTTCAGTGCTCCACACGCGGAAGCTCACAGGATCCATGATGGTGGGTTGCACAATCTCGCGGTTGGGAAACACACCCCAGGTCAGTGCTGTGGTGTGGTTTGTAGCGCCGACACGTTCGGTACCCTGCGACGAGTTCGAGTTCGGGTTGACAGATGTGTGAGTGAGGCATGCGAGCTGCTTGCTGCTTGCTGATAACAATCACACACTTACATCTGCCCGAATGGCATGCAGGGTCAGGTGGCGGTGCGCGCTGAGCACGCGTTCTAACTTGTCCAGCCGCTGAGAATCGCAAAAGAATTCGACGTAGGCCTTTTGATAGACCAGACCGTCTGCAGGACCCCAACCAAACACGGAATCTGTCGACGGCACTCCGTTAACGGCTGGCTGGCTATTGATGGTGAGGATGCCATGGCGGTTGAGGTTGGCGAGACGCTGGGAGATGCTCGATGTTTCTGCAATGCAACCTGCCGTTATCCCAAAATCCGAGAAGAACACCATCTCACGCGCCAAAAGCAAAAAGCAAAGAGTCATACCGGAATCGAGAGGGTTGCTACACCATGGGATCATGGGAATATCACCTTGAACATACTTGGCGAAAACCTCAAACACATCTTGCTCTGTCTTGAGTCTACCTGCATGCTGCAGGAAGCCCTGTGCCAATCAACGACAGATGGTTATGTCAGTGTCAAGCTCCTTTTGGATGATGGCATGCCGAGGACTCACAGTTGGTGGGTGAACAGCAGCCAAATGAAAGTCGGACAAGTCACCGAACGCAGGCGATTGGTGATCACCCCATCTATGACAAATCCAAGACACCGTAAGACTTTTTTTTCTTCAATTCCAATAGCGGGTTGAATCGAACGTCAATATGCACACACCTTCCATTCGGGAATTCACTCCAATCGCTGGTGCGAACCATGTAGCTCGTTGGACGATGCTTCCTGAGTTGTGCAAACGCGAAAGTGAGCAGGTGCCATTCACAGCCATCTACAAAACAACCTCGCAAGCAACTTGCCAGTAAATCGGACGCACTTCACCAGCGAGTTCCTAGCAAACGAAAACAGACACGGATTTTTTTTTTCGTTGAGCACCCATTCTCTCACATCTATCGGCGTGAAAGCAATCCCGGCTCAAAGATGAGCATACCTGTTGCTCGCTCGATCGAATTTTCACACTCGCCGGGTCAAGGAGTCCAGCGGTCTCCGCAAGCCCAACGACAGGCTCTTCCAAATTCATTGTATAAAAGTGCACTCCGAAAACGCCAGCGTTTTGGAACTGTTGGATTAGTTGCAGCACAAAACTCGAGCCAATATCTCGAACGGCCGCATCGTCGTGCTACCAGACCCAGACGAAGCCAATGTTCAGAGGACTTTCACAAACAAACACAAAACAAAAGCCAAACAAAAACACAACCAAAAGCCAAACCAAAACCAAAAAGTTACCTTGACGGCTCGAAGTGCGTCCAGCAAGTCATCTGGGACCATGACCTTGGTCAAGGAAATGATGCGGATAAATTGCTGGTAGTTGGTAATCGGCATAATTCCTGGAATAATTGGACAAGTGATGCCTGGGCAAACCGCCGGTTCAAAGAAGACGAGTGTGTGAGCCACCGCGGCTACTTGCAGCCAAATTCCGATGGCGTCACGACTTACCAATTCCGCGACAGTCTTGCAAGAACTGCAAGAAGACTTCAGCATTGTAGACCATTTGAGTGATGATAAAATCTGCTCCTGCATCAACCTTTTCCTTCAGGTGCTTGAGATTGACTGCGTATCCAATTCCTCCGTGGCCTTCCGGATACCCTGCGAAACAACCAGCGAGATGGTCCATGCAGTGAGTAAGCAACGGGGTTCTAGCGCCCTTGCATCACATCGGAACAAGCCTCGAAGTAAACAAACCTGCAACCGCCACGGTAAACTTGTTGGTGAATTCGCTGCGGATGAGGCGAACGAGGTCGATGGCGTACTTGAACGGGGCGTTGTTTTGCTCTTCAAAGTCGTCCAGATCATCTGCATACCCCCCTCAGGGTAGAAGCGATCAGCGAAGGCTGGCCTTTTGAGAGAATTTGACACACAACCTATTTCCACCTTACCGCCTCGCAAGGCCAAAATGCACTGGACACCGGCCGCAGCAGCTGTAGCCAGATGGCTCACAAGAGTGGCTTTCGAAGCGCCGGCGCACGTCATGTGCAGCATGACTCGATCTGGGCCCAGCAGCTGTCGTGCGGCCTTGGCGATCGCGAGCGAAACGGCGCTTGTTTCGCCTCCAGATCGCCATGTCACGTCGACAAACAGTGGTCCTAAGCGTGCAAACACGTTCCACAGTGAGTACAATGATATCAACAATCAACGAGTCCATCGCCGTCGTGGAGATGACATCACGTCGAATTTTGGGATTGAATCACGACCGTTACAATCGGTCTCACCTGCAGCGACCATACGCTCCATGCGCTCCATGAGATTAGCGACGCCTGCGACCATGCCGTATCAAACCAAATTGAGCCATGAATGCGAGCACAACGTGAGATTCCGTGTGCGCGCGGACATGTCAAACTCCAGACAATCCAAACACACCTGCGTCGGTCTTTGGAGGGAAGAACTCGAACGAGCAGAAGCCGCGACGGGGCTGCGACGAGATCAAAAAGCAGCATTCACATCAGCGAACGTGGCACTCGACGACGACGACGGCGGCGGGTTGCGGGCAGCGGATTCAGCGGCTTGAACGAGATTGAGCATTGAGAGAAACCGCCAATCCGAAAGTCAAAAAAACAAAAAAGACTGCTGCAATGGGGTGGGTGTGATTCTGATTGGATCCGTGCATCAGTACTTGTCATGGAACGTCAAGAACAAAAAAAAAACTGCGACATGAAACGGGATGGCGGTGGATGAAGGCTGGGCTGGATTTGTGATTGTGAATGTTGGAGAAAAGACGGTGATGAGCCTCAAAGAAACCAAGACAAAGATATACACTGTCACATGATAATCACACAACTCTTCGTTGACAACGCCACAACACGTTCGCAATCGAACAAAAACGCACAGCTCGAGTGCTCCCCAAAAAACACAAAAACACACCAACACACGCACTGAAATCAAACCAAACAGGCTAGCATGATACGTCACTCAAAGTAGAAACCAGGCAACAGATAATGTACAATCAGACAAAGGGGACCAACGACAAGGTCGGGCTACACTGAAATGTGCTCCAACACCACGTTCGCAGTCTCCGGAAGGAAGCGCCAAACGCCGAGAAAGCACAAGAAGAACAACAATCCATAGTAGAGGAATGTGCCTGCAACACCAACCGCATCGATTGAGCTGAGGAAGGTGATGGTGATGATGAGCGAGCAGAGCGCGAGCAACAGCGAGAGCATGCCGTTGGCAGCGCCACGTATCCGCTGGGGGAAAATCTCTGGCACAACAACAAAGAAGAGAGGCCCTACTCCCATTTGGAAGGCCAGGATTGTCACGGCCTGGCCCGTGATGAGCAAGCCCAGACGTGAGCTGCCCGGCTCGAGGAATTGGAAGCCAGCGGCCATGACCAGCGTGCCAATGGTCACGCCGAGCGCCGTGATGACAAGCAAGAAGCGACGCGAGCAGTGGTGAATCACCGGCAGACTGATGAGCGACAGCACGATGGAGACGCCGCCGGCAATCGTGGCAGCGAGCACACCGTCGTCGTTCGAGTATCCGGCCGCTTTGAAAATCTGCGGGCCGTAAGAAACCACTCCCTGGACCGAGTTGTTGAGAATGCACAGCATAAATCCGAGCATGACACTCCGAACGGACAGCAGCGAGAAGAACTCGCGCGCAGAGAGGTGGACAATTTCGTCGTCCTCGGGCTGCTGGTTCTCGACGCCCGCTTCGCCACCCGCGTCATCGTTCTTGAGCTGCAGACTGCTCGCCTGAATGTTGCGATGTCGGTTGATTTTGCCGGACGACCGAGTTTGGGGTGTGTGGCCCGCGGCAATTCTGGATCGTGGCCCCAGCAACTTTGCCGTGTCCTCTGCCTCATCATCATCACCATCACCGTCAATTTCAGCGTTATCATGCTCATGATAGGAAGACCCGATTGCACCGTGCCCGTCCGACAGGCTGGACGAACGGCGCGCTCGCTGTGGCGCAAGCTTGGACAAGAGATAGCGGGGGCTTTCCGGCAGCCAACCGGCGACGAGCAAAATGACAAGGAGGCCAGGTGCAGCGCCGACGCCGAGGGCCCATCGCCAGCTGAGGATGAGCTGGACGCCATACGAGAGCGCGAGGCCCGTGTTGATGGACAGCTGGAAGACGGCGACGAGCAGGCCGCGGGACTTGGCGGGAGCGCACTCGGCAACGTACACGGGGACAATGAAGCAGATCACGGTCGACCCGATGCCCAGGACAAGCCGGCATGCACACAGAAACCAAAAGTCGTTGACGACGGCCGAGACGACGCTGGCTGCAGTGGAGAGCACGCCGCAGAAGAGGGTCGTCCAGATGCGCCCGAGCCGGTCGCCCATCACGCCCGCGACCGGCGAGAACGCGAGGCCGCCGACGAGCGTGGCAGAGTTGAGCAGCTCGCTGGAGGTTGTCGAGTTGACAAAGTCGAGGTCGGCGCTGATCGGGTCGAGCAGGCCTCCCAGCGACGCCGTGAATCCGTACACCATCCCAGACACGGCGCACAGCAGGAAGAGCAGCACGAGCGTCCGCCGCGACTCGTCGGCAGGTCGGTTGTGCGAGTACGTCCATCGTGTGAGACGCAGCAGCGACTGCACCACACGCTCACGATCGGCTGTTTGTACAGCAGGAGGAGGGGGAGGGGCCGAATCGGAGGACATGTTTGGATGCGCACGCGCGGTGTGTGGATCGATGAGGGTGCCGCGGTGCGTCGAGGCAAGCACTGGGTGGAGCCGAATGCTGCTGCTGCTGCTGCTGCTGCTGCTGCTGCTGCTAGCGTTGATCGTGTTGGTTGGCGGCGTGGTGTCGGTCGGGTTGCTTGCAGGGAACGAGCGGGGGAAGTGAGGAAAGGAGGAGTGAGGAAAGGAGGAGTGAGGGAAGGAGGAGTGGCTCTGAGAGGGACCAAGTGCGGAAGGCGCGGTGCTTTCCGTTCTCAAATCAGATCAGATCAAGTCCGATCAAAAGACGTAATGACAACCGACTTGGGTAGAAGCACGACTGAAGGTACTGTAGCGTCAGAACATTGAACTGTGTACTGTATCCATGCCGCCCTCGGCTTGCCCCCCGGCTTGCCACACGAGAGCAGTCCGAGTATGATACTTGCTTCCAAACACGCTTCATTTCGTTTTCGGTTGCATTCATGAATCAGATTTTGACAGATTTGTTCAAATTCATTCATTCAATTTCTCAGTTTGCTCAGTTTTTCTCAACCATCATCGCTTCTTCTCAACTATTCAAGCTTCAGGAGTGTGAAAGAGCAGCAACAATACTTGCAGCAGCAGCAGCAGCAACAGCAGCAGGAGGAGGAGGCGAAGGAGGATGCGGACGCTGGTGGTGAGCGATGACATGGGGACGCTGGTCTTCTGGGACGGCGACGAGGCGCCCTCGGTGCTCCAGGCAATGCAGCGCCACGAAGCCGCGCGGATCAAGAAGGAGAGCCAGAAGCAGCAGCGGCGACAGCAGCGCCTGAACAGCGGCCTCGACCCGGACGACGGGAACGACAGCAGTGATCAGGACGAGGACGACGAGATTGAGCTGACTGCGGCCGAGCTGGTGGGCGCGGACGGTCGGCCGCTGGACGCCGCCGCGCGCGAGGCACTCATCGAGGAGCGCCGCGAAGCCCGTCGCGAGGCGGCAGCGATGGCCGCGGCGATCGAGGCAGAGGCAAACGACTATGTCAGCCGCAAGATGATGCTGATGCCGCCGTTCGCCATGTCGCAGGCCTTCTTCAGCGAGACGTTCAACGAGGTCCTGCTCTCCATGCGCTGCAAGAACGGCGAGCTCCTTGTCTTCCAGCGCGTGAGTTTTGGTTGTTGCTGGTGCTGCTGGTGCTGTTCGAATCACTTTCCATTGGGGCAGATTGTCGCGTTCGTTCGTCCCCCCCTTCATTCTGCCCATGGTTTGAGGGCCCACGCCATCCATCCGACAAAGTGCCAGGGTTGCAATTCGGGTGCAGGCGGGTGCCGGGGGTGTGGGGGGTGAGTGGGGCGTTGAGATGAGCGATTTTGCTCTTTGTGCAGCACGAGACCTGGTCGTGATGTGACATGAGAGGGTGGTGCACGTTCTGTGTGTGTGTGTGTGTGTGTGAGGAACAAGTGCTGATGAGCATATCCAACGAGTTGTTGTTGTGATTGGATTTTTTGGTTTGACTGGATTGGAATCGCTTGCTCCATACTTGACAGTTTGGCGACCTCCTCTACGTGCTGTTGAGCGACACGGAGACGTCCGAGCACTTTATGATGTCGCAACTGCAGATTCTGCATCAATTGTTTACCATGAAGTTTGGCCCTCGCGTCGAGCTGATGCTCAGGTTTGTACTCTTTGTTGCTTTTGAAAGGCTTTGTTGTGCTGCGTAACTGACTCGCATTTTGTCAAACACAGGAGCTCCAAGGATGTTCAGCTGAAGAATTTTGCCCGAACTATCGACGATCTCTACAGCACACAGCAGAGCTACTTGGTGCAGTCCATCGAGCGGATTGAGGTCAACCAGGAGATTCGCGGTCGATGTCTGAAAGCGCTCGAGGCTGCCATCAAGTCGCTTCCCAAGACACACGGAGCTGCGCATGCTTTGATTTTCGTCGACACAAAGGTCCGTTTTGAACTGGTTGATGAGGCTGTGGTGGTGGTGGTGATGGTGGATGAATCGGTGCGGAGCGCAACTCACTTTTGATTTTCGTTTTTGTTTTTTTCACACACTTCGCCTTGAACAGCTGTTGGCTCACTACTCGCGGGCCAAAGCCTTCGAACTACAAGCATCAGACATCTTCCTCATCACACTGTACATTAAAAGCTGTTTTGCCAATTCGGTCTGGGATGAAGAGCCCGGCCCCAGCTCGTACCGTGGCTATGCAGGTTATGGCTTCCCCGAAACGGAGAGCGGCGGTTCCTTCACTACGACAACAACTACCCCTGCTAATGCCGAGCCTGTTGCAGGTATTTTTTCTCGCAGTTGTGTGCGTTTATGCGGTTGCGAGAGTCTCACTTTCTCCTTTTTTTTTTCTTTTTTTTTTCCCCCGGTTCTGCGCGCCTGTCCGTATGGTCAGAGGAAGGCTCACAACGCTTCCGATCTCGCACAAAGTCAATCAGCTCAATCGATGGGACCGATGACGGCGACCAATTCGTCTTGGCACGCGAGGATATTAGCGAGGAAGAGCGCCCCAACGGCTCGACCAACAGTCTTGTGCGCGCTGAACTGGGTCCGCTCGAAGCAGACAATCCATCCGCTGGAGAGGCTGGGCAAGACCTCGTCGTCGCCTCGACCACCGTGTTTGACACCCTTCCGGCAGGTTCGGCACCCAGTGCTTCCGTTCGGCAGGATTCCATCACGCTTGCAGCTCACTCACCTTCGCCCACGACGCCGCTGGTATCCTCGCCATTCTTTACGACAGCGCGTGTGGATGAGGGCATCGAAACAGAGGAGTCCTCGTCCATGACACTAACCTTGGACTCTGACGGCAGCACGAGATCGACTGCTCGACCCAAACCATTGCAGATCGGCTTGGAAGACCACGCCTCCCTCCCGCGCTCGTCGCCTCTGGTCTTGAAGAACACTCCGGCGCGGCTGCCGCCGGTGGACAGCGAAGAGGCATTCTTTACGCCCCAAGTCGAGTCGCCGCTTCGCTCGCGACTCAAGCTCGACACCTTGGCCGCTGCGCGCAACAGTTACGGACTGGACGGCGCCTTCTCGACGTCATCTATGGACACGGCCACCGTGGTGCCGAGTCTCGATACCCCTGAGGAGAATGCCTCAATGCACTCTGCCACCTCGGTGCAAGCCAGCCCTCTATTGTCGCAATCCCTCGCCCACTCGTTTGAGTCGGACCAATTCTCTCTGGCGCACTCGACATCGTCTTCCAGCTCGCATCCCACGGCCCCGAAATCTCCACCCTCCACGTCCCACCCGCTGCCGTTGGAGCTGCATGCCGACAAGGCGTTGGACGGCAGCGACTACCTGCTTCCTCAGCAACGTCAGCCGTCCTTGTCAAGGCTGAGCGACTCGTCAAACAGCAGCACCCCGGGTAGCTTTGTCGATGCACAACAGACCCACAGCTCCACCGCAGAGACCCTCAGCGGGTCGCCCCTGACTGCCGACGGTAGTGGAGGCATGATTTCGCATTCGAGCTACAAGCCACCGCCGTTCGTTTCGGCGCCCCAAGATTCCGCTCTAGAGACTTACAAGTTTGAGTATGTCTACTTTAATAGCCCTCAGCTCACACCGTACCTCATGTATTGTGCCGAAGTCGCCCCGTCCACGCTTCTCGTGGTGATTAGCAAAAACACGGTAAATAGTGGTCGCACACACTCTTGCTTCGCACCATCATCGCTTGCGAGTTGTAAATCGAGAATGCACGTTCTGACATGTTTTGCATGTCTTTTTTTTTTTTTTTTTTGATTCCAGGAGAAAAACGATCGGGAGCTGTCATTGATGATGGCCATGAAGGACAAGGTTCGGTCGGAACTGGATGACTTTATTGAATTCCTGATGGTCAAGGGTCGACAGAACATGACAATGCTATCATATCGGCACGTTGCTTTGATTGGGTTGTGGTTGCCCACGTTGCATTGAGTGTGGGGTGTGCGTGTTCAATGCCTGCTGCTGCTGCTACTGCTGCGTACCTGCTTTGATGCCATTGCTTCGTTTCAGCGTTATTTTTTTCCACCTTGACGTCGTCGTCGTGTTGTTTGTTATTGTGCTGTTTGTTTGGTTTGTCTCGCTTTCTGGGCTTTCTCGATTTGCACGTTCCTCAACTTTTTCCCAGGTCTGGTGCACTTTATCTACGTCGACCGATCTCGAGACCAAGTCGTAGCCCCGGCCGTCACGTCGCTCCGGGCCGTTCACGAAGCTGCAGGCCAGCAGTACACGTCTGCTCAAAGCGACGACGAGACTTGCCGTTTGCTAAAGCGCAAGGTACAGACACCAAATGCGTGCAACTTGTTGGGGTGAATGAATGCGTGCGCGCCAACCATCATCTGACATGTTGCTCTGGCTACTTGCGTGCCTGAATTGTTCTCAGATTTGGGAGATGGTGGGACGAGCGCGTGAGCGCCATGCGCAAGGGTACACGTCGAGTATTGTCAAGCACGAGAACTTTACCTACTCGTACTTTTTGTGGTTTGAGGACGACGATGGCAATCACTTGATTGTGGACCAAACACTACCCAAGGTAATGCTTGTTGAGTGCAAGCACGCGTCGAGTGCAGAGTCACAGTTGGGTGCTGGGCAACTGTTGCTGATTGTGCGGGTTTTCCCCTCATTGCCTTTTTGGTGTCCGATTGCCTTGTTTGTTTCTCCATGACCCTCCAGCTCCCGCACATGTTCAGCGGAAACTACTACAAGGAACTTGTCCGCCAACTCTTCCGAACGCTGCGACCGGGCTCGGTGCACTGCTACGAGTTGTTCACGCTGCACCTTGCCCATGTTCCCTTCAAGCACCTGTTGTCTCAACAACGGCGCCTGATTCGCAAGCTGCGAGAAAACCGCTCCTTCCGTGTTCCCCAGAACTGAGCACGCACGCATCGTCGTCGCAACATTGCAACATTGCATGAGCAAGGTCGATCAAGTGTATCGGGAGTGGGGCAAGGCTCTCGCTGTCTCAGTCAGCCCATTGTTGTACTCTCATCCGACTACAACATTGCTGTTGACCGCTCGAGCAAACTGGCTGCGACATTGTTGAATGCGACATTGTTGAATTTTTGAATTTGTTTCTTTCACGTTTTTGGACTGCTTTTTTTTTTGGCAGAATAGAATCCTTCTTTTTCACGCTTTTCCCGATTCACTGCTCTTCTTCACGCAATCTTCGATTCGGAAACGAGACATTGAAGCGCAGCAGTTTTCGTTTTGTGTTTCAATTGTCGCTCACTCTTTTTTTTTTTTTTTTTTTTTCCATTTTTTTCTCCGTTTTCTATTGCTTTCTATTGCTTTTCCACATGGCTCGTCCTGGTCGCGGCCGGCCAACGCACCCTCCAAGCAACCGAGGCAATGGCACGACTCCCAATGCCACCAGTACTGCCACCACGTCACAAGCACAAGCACAAATACCAAGCGCAGAAGCGATCGCCGCTGCTGCAGGCGTTTATCGAGCTGGTCTTCTTGCTTCAATCGATGCTACTGTTGTTGCTGATGCTGGTGATGAAACGCACTCGACGGACGATGACGATGACGGCGACGACGACGACGACGACTATGAAGACGAAGACGAAGGCCGCCCCGTGATCAACTATGGGTACGACGACGAGGAGGACTATGAAACCGACGAGGATGACGAGGACGAGGACGACGACGACGACCATCACCACCACCACGACTACGACGACGACGAGGACTATGAAACCGACGAAGACGACGACGACGAGGACTATGAAACCGACGACGAAGACGACAACACCTCCGTGCGCCGGCCAGTCAACACTCAAGAGAGAACGACGCAGCAGTTCCTCGCGCAGGTGCAACGCCTATTCCAAGACCACCCTCCCATCACCGACGAGGAGGATCAGCACGTTCACAATGAGGCTGATGTGACCCACTGGAGGATGTTGGCAATGGTGCTCGGTGTCGGGCCCCTCTCCGCGCACGGGACGGATGCTACCATGCTCGTAGCAGCCAAGGCCATCGTCGGCTCGTTGCTCTACCCATGCGATGCATCCCGGGTGGGCCCGCCCGGACTGCGGTTGCAGAGTCGTATTCATGTGGACCACAGTCATCATGGTCATCATGATGATCCTTTGGACCCAGCTGGCACCGTTATCGACGACGACGATGATATGGACGAGATGAGCGACGCGGGCGATGACCGCGACAATGATGGTTCGGACGGGATGAGCGACGCAGACGACCACGACGACCACGACGACCACGACCACGACCACGACCACGACGACGACCACGACCATCCCTCCGCGACTCGCATTCCGTCGGCTTGGGCGTCGCTCGAGTACGAAAGCAGCGCAATTCATGCTCCTCACCACGAGTTCCCGACCACGTTGAGCGCACACGAGCTGTCCGACTTTGACACGTTTCCGCGATTGACCGACTACCACATGGATGCCCAAGAGCTCGAAACTGACATATTCTTGCCACAGCTGGCGCTGCAGCCTCCCTCATACCAAGCCTTGCAGTACGACAGCACCCGCCTTGAGGTCCGTGATGTCCATGGTGTCCGAGTCGAGTGGAAAGACGAGGCTTACGAGAGTTTGGTTCGGCCCACGTCGCTTGAGGCCAGGCCCATTCTTGCCCGTCGCGTTCTCTTTGATCCAAGCGAGGCCGATCCGGCTGCCATTCCAGCGTTAGATCGAGAAAACACCACTGTTTTGTCCATGGCACACCGCGATGCCCTTGAGCTGCGGCCATTCGAGCCCAGGTATTCCTACATGAATGCTCTTTGCCGCGATACCCGCGGCTCCATCCTGCAGCCGCTCTTCCGCCTCATCACAGAACGGGCGACACCACTTGCCATCACCTCCTTCCTCAAGAAATGGCATTCTCGCGCCTTGCCGACGCAGGTTGAGCTCAAAATGGCTCGTGACCGCTTCTTGCAAAGGTCTGATCGGCATGTTGCTTTTGCTGAGTCCTCGGCTGCCGTAGAAGGGCCGCAGCTCGCAGGTCCGGTCGCGGTCGTCCCCATTCCTCTTCCCGAGTACAACCTCGAGTCCGACCTCTGCGTCGAGTTGCCGTACGCGCTCGCGGGCAATGTGTTGGCGTCGCGACTTGCAGCAGTGTTTACAACAGGCGCGCGCTATCTCGAGCCCAGCGCTTGCCTCAACTTTGCCAGTCCGTTCGGCGTTCCAATCTCAGTCGCCAATCCCAATTATGTGATTTCTCCCATGCAATGGGCTGCTGCTGTCGGCACTGGAGCCATCATTGAGGCTCTGGCTGATTTTGGGTGCGAGATCGAGCCTGAGGTGAATGCCGTCGTCGCTTCGTTGTCGCCAGATGACCAATACTTTCCGTTCTTTGCCGGCGGCCATTCTTCTGCATTCGCCCCACTTCCAACAACCAGCGCCCAGCTTCCAACTAACTATGCCTTCCATCGTCTGTCCGACCGCGCTAGTCGGTCCATTTTCGCTGACCTGAGTACTGCGGACGGTGCTCGGGCGATGGTTCCCAGTCTGCTTCCGGCATCACCACTGGCCATTGCTATTGCAACGCATAACGCATCGGCTACCCGTGCTCTGCTTGCGCGAGGCGCTTCGTTGTCGTCCTTGCCGTTGTTTGCCGTGCCCTCCTCGCTGCCAAATACCAATCTCGCCCATTCTGTCGCAGGGCTGTTGGAGAATTCTGGCGCAGCCGCGGTTGTCATGCGCCATTTGGACTCGCGCGGGTGTCCAATCCCTTCCTTGAGCAACGCTGTTGATTTTGCCAGCAACTCGTACACGACGCTTGAATACGTGTACCAGGCCAGAAAGTTTACGCTTCCTCCGGGGCTACCACCAAACGCGCGCGGACTGACGTTCCTGGCCAGCAAGGCGGTGGCGCGCTTGCTGGTTGATCCCGAATACTCGCTCCGCAATGTTCCTCCCAGCTCCACGACGCGCGCCCAATACCATCGGCACCTCCGCACACGCATCTTCCACCAGCACTTTGATGAGCATCTCCAATACGCGCTGGCGACGGTGCCGGATTTGCAGTGGAATCTTCTCGCCTTTGGTGTCCCTTCAACAGAGTGGAAAAGCCCCCTGGAGACTTTGAGCCTGCTGGCGCGAGTGGTGGGCAGCCCGCGCGACCTTTGGGGCAGCCTTTCGTACGACAAGCCCTTTGTTGTGCCGACCGGTGCCGAGGCGCTCTCGTCTGCATCCAACAAGGCCCAGATCGCATTCCCCAACGAGAGCGCACCCGATGCAGTCTCAGACCCACTCACGCGCCCGTCACTGCAGCTGGATTTCGGCCGCCTGAAAGTCTCAACCGAAAAGAAGTCGGCCCTCATCGCCCACCGCGACCCGCTCGATTTGCGCGACCGCGAAGGGTCGTTGGCGCTCCGTCAAACTGCCGCTCGCTTGGCCCGCGTCGCCTCATTCATAGAAGCGTACGACGACGCTACGATCGATGCGCTGTTCGACGCGCTTCGAAAGAAGAATTATCATATTCTGGCTCTCGAAGAGTTGCTTTTGCCGCTGGCTGCCAGTTCCCTGACGACACGCCCGCCTCGTTTTATTATTGCAGCCGAGTTCCAGTCGATGGAAGATGTGTTTCTGCTCATGTCTGCAGTGACTGGCTTTATGTGTTCGTATCTTGCACGCACAAGCCAAGCCGGCATCACGATTCTTCGCGCCACACGCTTCACCCCTGCCCGGCTTGTTCAACGCTCCGACCACTCTGAGCGAGCAGACAAGCGTTCGGCCCATGCGATCTTTGAGCGGTGCAACCGTCGCTTCATGGATGCCATCATTTACAGCATTGACATCATCGACGCCCTTTCAGCTTCTATTGCCTTCTCTGGCAAGGCAGGCGTGCTCGCCACCGAGCTGTCAGGGGCTCTGGCGGAGTGGGACCAAACCGTTGACATGTTCTTGCAGCAAGCGGAGGAGGACACGAGACCCCCTTGCTTGGCCAAGACGTTGCTCGCTGGGTCATCGATTGGCGAGTACCGCAACCACCTGCTTCGCGTTGTTTCGCTGCTTCGGCGGCTCAACGACGACGAGATGCTGCCCGACTTTTGCCACGTGCCGGCTGACATTCGCTCTCCCTTCCCCCGGCGAAATCTTATCAAGGCGCTAACTGCAACGCTCGAGCGAGCTTCAATGTACGGGGGGTTGCCGGAAGATCGCACCGTGCTCGTCCAGGACTATGTCCGTCTCGTTGCTCACGGCACGCCCGTGCCTAGCAATGCTGACATTAATCGTGTGGTCAGCTCAGTGAGTGTCGGGACGAGTCGCTCCTCCCAACGAGGGTCAACAACAACGACCGACGACGCAGCCGAGGTTGTTGATCCTGCAATGCAGGCAAGCTACTTTCAGGCATTCATGTCGGGAGGACCCCTCACAACGCCGCTCACAATGGCTGCCGTCAACAACGACTATGACGCCGTCGCTGCTATTCTTCAGTCGTCCTTGCCCGGAGGGCAACGCTTGCGTTCGACGTCCAAGCTGCTGACGCCCCTCCACCTCACATCTTCGCCACGAGTGGCGCGCTTGTTGGCGACCCAGTTCTATATCAACACGCGAACGCCGTTCTGCAACGTCAGCGCCTGCCAAGATGACGTCTGGAACATTGAGGATCTCATGCAATCTTCGCGTAGCGGGCACACTCCGTCCGCTGCCATCGTCAAGGTTCCTGGCCAGCCTCCATTTGATGCTGCCTCGTGTCTGTACGGTTCGACTCCACTGCACATTGCGTGTGCCTTTGGACACTTGGATCTTGTGCGTACCTTGGTCGACCTTGGGGCGGACTTGCACATCTTGGACGCTTGGCGCAGAACGCCATTGGACGTCGCAAAACACCGCCACCACGAGGAAGTGTCAGCGTTCATCGAAAGTGCGCTTGGTCTGACGCCCAGCGCCTCCAGCAATGATCACCAGGACTCGTTGGAGGATCAACTCTTGCAATACGTGACAACAAGTGGTGACTTGCCTTGTGTCGACAATTTGCTGGCACAGCTGCTTGCTCTGACAGCCGACTGTCCCGATCGGCTTGCCCAGCTGCTTGCGCGCAAAATTCTCCTCACTCAAGTCCGAGGAGCAGCAGTTCAGCAGCGTATCCAGAGATGGCTGCGTGATGCCACCCCACAGCTTGGCTACGCGCTTCTGGCCGTTGCGTTTGCATCGCTGTGCGCGCCCCTCGCCGAATTCGTCCTTCAGCATCTTCCACCGAGTGCTGAACGCCCAGTCCCGGCACTCTTGTGGCTGCTTCAAAGTGTCTGTCGAGCGCCTGCCGCTGCACAGTGCAGCATGCTGCCCTTGTTCCGTACCTTGTTAGCTACAAGCACGCTGGAAACCGAACATTTAGGTCTCCTTTATCTCGCTTGCAACGGATCCTTCTTTGAGGCAGTGATCGAGCTGCAGCCTTCATCCTTCGAACGAGACGACTTTGAGTCGCGAAAATTTTATTTTGCATATTGCTTGCATGCGTGGGAGCTGGTAGGCATATCCATGTTGCTTGACAGCCCTTCGACCAGCGCGGCGAAGCACGCTTTCTCCTGTCTCCAGCGTCAAGCGCCTTCGCGTGCCGTTTTTCGGGACAAGCTATTCCGAATGGCTGTGCTCACAGTATGCTGTCCTGCGATGCAATTTGTGATTGACATGTACCGCGAGGATGACGCGCTCTCCTCGATTGCGGGCGACTTTATCAAGCACACTGTGGAGACAGCGCAACACCGGGATCAGTTTTTCAAGGTCGCGAAAGGCGTGGATTTTCTAACAAAGCCCATGTCGTATGGTTCCGCCGAGCTGCCTGATCGTTTCGTCCCAACTCTTGACTGGAGTGCGCTTTATGATTTGGTGAAGGCGTATGGTGTTGACCTACAACACAAGTGCGCGATTCTCCCCGAGCTGCTCCCCCCCGAGCTTCGTGCCGACCCTCGTACCGGTACTCCTTTCCGATGGACAGCCTTGACGCTCGCTCTTGTCTTGAAGGACGACTTGGCGTCCGTGGCCTCGCTTCATGCGGCAGGAGCTCCTGTCGTGGACAATGCTCCTGCTGCTGCTCCTGCTGCTGACGGGTCATCCATCTCCTTCTCCATCCCGGTTCCGCTTGGCAGGCTCTGTGAGTCAAGCACCCTTCGGTCTGCTTTGCTGCCCGACCCCGCTCATCCGGCCAACCACCACCCCCAGTTGTTGACCGACGTTCTTGCAGCTTATGCTGCTTTACCCGGCGACGAGCACTATGCGGATTCGATTGACTTGAACAATTTCTTCAATTTGTTCAACGACACAATCATCACTTGGAGTGATGCCAACACCTTTACGATTGCATGCAGCATTTTCGCCAAAGTCGTGTCCACTTTGCAGACTCCTCTCACTCGTGAGGCGTTTCCGTTTCTGACCCAGCTCTTCCCGCTGGTTTCCCGCATCACCAGTAACGTGGCGGTCAAACTTCCTGCCGACTTTCTTCTGCTCAACGAAGACTGGTGCATTCACAATGAACATCCGAGTGCTCCACTGCAGCTGTACAAGCTCCGCGAGCTGCTCAAGCTTTTCCGCGTGCTTGGCGCGTCGGCAGCTGACATGGCCCAGGCCAGCCTCATCACGGGCGAACAGCTTCTTGGCCAGTTGTACCAAGTCTACCGACCCTTGTCGTATCTCTGGGCGCTCCTTGACTGGGGCGTTCCCATTTCGGCTGCCGCGATTCTCTCTCCCCTGACCATTCGGTTGCTCTTGTTGACTGATGAGTCTGTCGACGGTGTTGATTTGCATCCTCTAAACCACGCGGTCGAGCGGAACGAGCCGCTGACGGATGGATGCCAATACCGAATTGTGCAGCATTTTCTGCAGGTTCTTCGTCTAGAGAATCAGTTGGCCACTTGGTCTCAGCTTGCCTGGCAATGGCTCGAGCCTGCTGTCCGGTGTCGGGCGGCGCCTGCCATCATCCCGATGATTCTGGATGCGATTCCGATCATTTATCGTGAGCGTTTGGCGGCGCGCCCACCACCGACCATTCTCGACTCGCTGGTGTTTTGCGAGCAAGGACCTGAGGTTTTCCGTATCCTTGTGCAGTTTGCGCCCTCCTTGAAGGGCCTGGTGTTTGCGTCGCTCACCAGAGCGCTCCACCAGCCGACTGTTGTAACTCCCAGCCGGCTGTCTCATTTGAGTCGCACCGAACTGACGGATCTCTTTGTGGAAATGCTGACGACTGCTCGTGGCGCGCGCCAAATCCTTTCCGATGATGAACAGGCGAGCGAGCCGCTGCTCACGACGAGTTTGTTGCGTGGGTTGCCCAAAGTTGCAAAGGCTGTCATGGCGTTTAGACACGTCAACCGCAGCGAGCTTCACATGCCCAATGCACACGTGCTGATGGACGCTGTATTGCAGCGCCTGGCGGTCGCGATGCGCGTCTGTCACCTTAGCAGCGCCGACGACAGTGCCAGCGTCAATCTAGTCAGCGAGCAGTTTGGCGTGCAATTTTTGTTCGAAATTCAAGAGATTGTCTCATTGCTAGGGCACCGACAAGGCCCTGTGGCGATCGGAGCCGATTCTACCACCCAACGGCGGGCCATGGACTCGAATGGCTACTCTTCCTTGATTCAACGCGTTGTGGCCGAGTTGCATCCGACCAATCAGCGGATTGCGATGGACCTCGAGTGGGACCGTGGCATTGAAGCAATCAACTTGATTTTCGACGAGTTGCCGTTGCTCGGACCTTCCTTCATGAAGGACTTGTGCTGGGTCCAGCACCCTGTAGAAGCCATGCTCCAAATGGCGTTCGTCCGCAGCGACTTTATCCAAGTGATGCTGACGCGGTACTTGTGTTTGGAGCCAAATCATCGCACTATTTCGGGGCATGATCTTGGATACATGCTGGAGGCTCTGCCGCCTGCTGGGCCCGTCGTGGGTTGCTTCGCCATGGTCCTCATCGACCTGCAAAGCTGCATCCGGTTTGAACATCGCGCCAGTGACTACGAATGCATGACTTGCATCTCTGTGACAAGCTGGGCCGATGTGGTTGCGCGCATGCTCGCTGTTACGCTTTGCGTTGCATCCCTTCAAGCCGAAGACCTTGATCTGGATCCAGGATTTTACGACGAGCCCGATCATGTTGCAAGCAACACACTTGCCATCCGCCAACTCTGTCAAGCTGTGGCAGTCTCTCGAGCCGATCTGCTCCGGGCTTGTCAACGATTCGGCGAGGCTGTCCATTTTGCGCCCTTCCTCAAGTCGATTTGAGCTGTGGACTTTGGTTTTTGTGTGTGTTCCTTTGCTTATTTCACTTGTTCTACCTTTTTTTCTTCTTTTGTAACTCGATTGGAAATCTTTGTTATTGGGCCCCCATGAAATACAAAAAACAACGACGACATGTTTTGCAAAATTGACTTGAACAGCAACTTATTGACCCTTGCTTGCTGCTTCACGAGCTCTGCGCTCGGACTCTTGAACAGCCGCGTCGTACTCAAAGCGGAGAATGTTGGGAATGTGGGACGAGTCGCGAATGTAAAAGTAGCGTGCAATTCGCCACCGCTGAATGTGCGGAAAGCAGGGTCGAAGCCACCGATTGGTGATGTGATGCCACGCCGCCGCAGCTGCCGCACCCACAAACGCACCAACAACCACCTGCAGACTCGTGTGATACCAGAGATAGACACGTGCGAACGCAATCAAGGCTGCCCCAGCCAGCAGCAGGACGCTGATCAGGTGGCGCCAGTGCGGGTTGGCAAACGAGGCGGCCTGATGCCGCCGCGAGGCATACATGAAGAGGATCAAGTAGACGGCCACAAAGAAGGCAAACTGCGCATGGCTGGATGGCATCCCAAACTCGGTGAACTGGGTCGAAATCTGAGGCGTCGAGGACAAGACTTGCGCCTCTGCCACCGCCTCCGCCGTCCGCGCGTCCTCCGAGTCTGCCGTGATCATTTCCTGCAATGTGCCCAGCAAGGCGCCTCCAGCGCGTTTGCCCAATGCGGATGCTTCTTGGTGGTGGTGGTGCTGCTCGCGGGTCGGGCGCGGCTGGGCAATCAGACGCTTCAGACCCCAGCTCAGGACCTCGTTCAGGACGATTCCAAGTGCAATGGTAGCTGTGTGGAGCTCGCGTCGGAAGAGCAGCAGGGTGGCGAGTCCGACCAGCGTTGCGAACGGGGTCAGGCAGACCAGCGCGAGGACCAGTCCCATCGCATCGCCGTGCTCGTACTCGACATGCGTGAGCGCGAACGCAACATAGCGCGCGTCCTTGGCAGTGGGGCGTTTCAACGAGGGTGGCGAAGGCGCGGACGACTTGTCTGGATCCGCAGCAGCCGAAGCCTGAGCGACGGGCACCACCACCACCACCACCACTAGTAGTAGTAGGAGTAGTAGTAGTAGCAGTCGTTGTAGGATTGGTGTAGGTCGGGATGTCCCGTGTACGAGTGACGACGACGACGATCGTGTCATCTCAACAATCTCCTCAACGTCTCAGATTTCAAGAATCTCTCGGTTTGTGGACTGAGTTTGTTTCCATTGCACTGCGTTTTCAATACAGAATTGATCTCTGTTTCGCTGCGCCTTTTCCCTCCGCGTTCAACGATGACCTCAACAGTCTCAGATCTCAGCAATACATGTACAATACTGTCACAATACAGTACTGCTTTCCATTGGAGTTTCTATCCAGAATTGATCTCTGTTTCGCTGCGCTTTTCCCCCTCCGCGTTCAACGATGACCTAACAATTCTGTTATAGTAATGTACCACTTTTGGTTGTCTGAGTTAGTTTTCCATTGAATTTCCCATCCAAATACAAAAAAACCTCCGCTTCCCTGCGCTTTTCCTCCGCGTTTGCTTTATAAATTCGCTTCAGATTTATCACTTCGCGTTCACTCTCTCTTCCTATTGCGAGTAAAGTTTTGCTTGCTTCACAACAACAAGAAGAAGAAGAACATTCAACCAAAAACATCAACTAAAACATCAACAAAAACCATGCACCTGCGTCTCGACGGAAAGCTCGTTCTGGTGACGGCGTCGACGGGCGGGATTGGCGAGGCGATCGCGACTTCACTGGCGCGGGAGGGCGCTCGCGTCATTGTGAACGGCCGGTCGCAGGCGTCTGTGGATGCGGCCATCGCACGCATTCGTGTGGCTGTGCCCGGGGCGCTGCTCGAGCCGCTCGCTGCCGACAATGGCACTGCGGAGGGCAACGCGGCGACCGTGCGCCACTTCCCCGACGTGGACATTCTGGTCAACAATCTGGGCATCTTCAACGCGGTGCCGTTCTTTGAGCTGTCGGACGCCGAGTGGACGGACATGTTCCAGGTCAATGTCATGAGCGGCGTGCGCCTGTCGCGGCACTATCTCAAGCGGATGATTGCCAGGAACGAAGGCCGGGTGCTGTTTGTCTCGAGCGAGTCTGGCGTGTCGCCCGATCCGGACATGGCCCACTACAGCGCGACCAAGACGACCCAGCTCTCCCTCTCGCGCAGCCTCGCCCAGCTCACCCAGGGCACCAATGTCTCGGTGAACACGGTGCTCCCGGGCCCGACGCGCACCGACGGCGTCGTGCAATTGGTGAAAAACCTCTTTCCCGACGTCCCGTACGCCGAGGCTGAGAGGAAGTTTATGCACGAGAACCGCCCAAACTCGCTCATTGCGCGACTCATGGCTCCCGAGGAAATTGCCGACGCGGTCACGTTTCTCGCCAGCCCGCTGTCGTCCGCCATCAACGGAGCAGCAATTCGCCTGGACGGCGGGCTGGTGCGCACCATTGTGTGAAGCTGCGGTGCCACAGAGTTTGACGCGAGAGTGCTTTGTTGTGCTTTGAGCGTGTGTGCGATTTGTGTGTGTGTGCGTTTTGTGTGCTGTACAAAGAAGAGCGCTTTCAGAAACTATCAAACAGGTGCAGTTGTTTGAAGCTAATCCGGCTTCAAAGCGGTCTCGATCTACAGATGTGATATCTCGAAACTCTGCTGTGGATGACATTGCTCACATTCAACGATCCGTATCTGAGACACACTGAGACTATGATTCACGATTGTAGTCTTCTTTGTTTGTTTGATTCAATCTTAATCCGAGTCCCACTCCCACACACAAATGTCTGTTGCTGCGGGTCTGCCATCGCCCAACCACGTCCAGCGCGGGTACCTGTACAAGGAGGGCGGCTCGATTGTGAGCTCGCGGTGGCAGCGGCGCTGGTTTGCGCTCGAGTCGAACGAGACGGCGATCAGCTACTGGAAGTCGAGCGCAGCCACCGCCGAGGCCGCACCGCTCGGGACCATCTACATTGAGGACGTCGTCGCAGTCACCGACCTCTCGGCCACGGGCGACAAGCGCGTCCTCCTCAGCAGCGGCGCAGCAGCATCATCGGGTGGAGCGGCAGGCTCCAATGCTGCTGCCACCACTGGCTCTGCTACTGCTGCTGCTACTACTACTACTACTACTACGACTACTACTGGCTCTGCTGCTACTGCTACTGCTACTGCTGCCGCGGCTGGGTCGACGGCGACGTTGGCGCCTCGCGCTGGTCCAACCACCCCGAATGCCTCGTTCACGAGCTCATCATCCGTGGCTGGGCTGCCATCGGAAGCTCAATTCCCTTTCAAAATCACATGTACGAAGAAGCTCCGTTGGTTTGATGTTGATTTTGAGTAGTTTTGGGCATGCTGAGGTGGAAAAGGCGGGTGACCAATCTCTCACTCAGATTCTCATTCACTGACTCAAAACCGAATCCTCTTGTGCTCGATGGTGGTTCTTCAAACCCGTCATCAACAACAGGCGTCAATCGTGATTACGTGCTTGCTGCGGAAACCGCGGAGGACAAGAACGAGTGGGTTCGCGTGCTGCGCGAGGTCTGCCTCACGAAAGCCGAAATGTTCCCCGTGGCCGGAGGCGCAAGTCGCGCTGGATTTGATCCGCCGCACTTTGTCACTGCAGAATGCTTTGTGACGCGGGGTGTGCGCATTCACGGCCGGGTGAGTTGATACGGTGTTGATGGTCGTGCTTTTTTGTTTTTTGTTTGTTTTTGTGTTGTTCTTGCTTTTTCGAGAATGTGAGCCCGCTCCTCATTATCTCATTTCCCCCAACCCCAACGAACGAACGAACAGGTACCAATCTCGTTGCTCGGAGCACTGGCACCCGGATTGCATCCTGATAAGAAACGACGCGACGAGCGAGGCTGGTTTGCCGACATTCATGTCCCAGTCGCCCGCTTGGTCAATATTTTCGTTGGGTTTGGGTTTCAGCTGACCACCTTGTTTGCAACCGAGTCCATCAACTCGCTGGATCCGACGGGTCCCACAGTTCCGTCCACGATCGCCGTCTTCACCATGCCGCAGCAACGGGCGCGAGGGTTTACTGTTGTCGCATCTACACCCATGTAAGTGCGCGGTCTAAGTGCCACCTTGGTGGAAGTGTTTTTGGCTCCCCCCTCTCATGCTTTGTGTTTGATTTCGGGCTCGTTTTTTTTTTTTTTTTTTTTTTTGTTTCTTCTCTCTTTCTTTCGGGGCCCTGTTGTAGGAAACGGCCGCCGCCTCCGTCGGTCGCCCCAACAACTGCCAACGCCTCAACTCCACCTCCGAAGCCTGCACCCATCGGAGCACAGCGTTTGCCGCCTGCTTCGCCTGTCGCGCTCAAAGCGACGCCGGCACCTGTAGCCCGGCCGCCTCCACCGGCACAATCCCGCCCCACCAAGCCCGTACCTCCAGGCTCTGCACCACTGTCGCCATCACCCACTGCTGCAGCTGCTACTTCGCCTGCTGCTGCCCTTGCTGCTGCTGCTGCTGCTAACACACGACCAGTCGTTAAGCCAGAGCGACCACCAGCCGCTCTTGCCTCCAATCGCATGTCCACCACTTTCCAGCTCACCGATTTGATCGACGAAGAGCTCGAGTCGCTAATGCGCAAGTTTGAAATGTCTGCGGATTTCGTGTGATTTCGCAGTGTGTTGTCTAGTTGCGAGCCGTTTTTTGAGTTTTTCAAGTACCTTGTCAAGTTCGTGTTGTTATTTTTTGCTATTAGAATCAGCGGGTTGCCTTTTCATCTGAAATCAGCGGTTTCTTTCAAAAATATACACACCAACAACAACACCAACAACACCAACAACACCAACAACAACAGCAACAACAACAACTACAACAACAAAAACAACAACAACTGCAACAACTACAACAACAAAAACGATAGAGCAACAAACAAAAATCTAGAGAAACTAATCAGAAGCAAGGATACAAGAATCGCGCAACAAGAAACACGGAATCAAACCAGGACAAGAACGCCGTAAAAAAAAATTGCGAAAGGTAGAGCTACATGACGACACAGGAGCCCCCAGGACAGAACAACTGGGAGCGAGCGCCATCTCGTTCCGGATTACCCAGCACCCGCAATGCTTGCTTGCGGCGCCGTTGGTTGAGTTCTGGTTTGGAGATGAGGTTGGAGCTGTCTGGATTGTCCAGGGCGTAATTTAAGCGTTCGGTGCTAGCACGAGTGGATGGGGTGTGCTCGCCAGAAGAGTGATGATGCAAGTCCGACGTGGAGGAGGCCAAGCTTGAACTAAACGCGCCAGGTACACGAGCGTCTTCAAAGTCTAAACCGCCAGGCGCTTCTTCTTCCAGGTGGCCAGGTAAGGGGTCGATGGCGAACGGTGATGAGGTGCCTGCGTCGTTTGCCTCGATGTGCTCATCCGTGTTATCCAGCAAACTGGTTCGATCGACAGAGCGGTCTTGCTGCTTGTTTGCGCGGGAACCCAGGAAGCTGCCGCGGTGTACGCTGAGTCTCGAGCCTCCCGCGACGGAAGCGTCCTTGGCCTTACCGCTCAGCCGCTCAGCACTGCTAGGAGAAGCAGCACTCGGTGAAGAAGGGGCAGCGACAGGTGCTGGGCTGCTGTTTTTGCGATGCACTGCGAGCAGGAGCGATGGAGCAGAGTTTGGAGACGAAGGAGCGGCTTTCATGGATGGGTTGTGCTGAGAAAATGAACCATGCGGCTGCACTGGCGAGGCTTGGCCAGCAGGAAAGTCTTCACCCCAACCCATGGAACCGGCGCGACGGTCCGAAACCAGGTTGGTCATTGTGATGCTGCCGAGACTGTCTGACGAGTCGGAAGCCGTCATGGACAAGGAGTCAAATGGAGCTAACGCCAACGCGCTGTGTCGATGGGATGTGCTCGGCTTTCCAAATGGATCGACCAGTGCGTGGTTTTGAGTGGGAGGAGGGAGAGTGGTGGACGGGCTACTTGCGCTATCAGCACTTCCATGACTCGATTGTCGCGTTGCAACAGTCGTGGACAATCGCAGCGGGTGAGAGGTGTTGCTTTCATTGGAAGGCGAGCCTGCGTTGGCGTGGTGTGGCAAAGTGCCGTGTGCCGGTGCAGCAGTGCCCACGTCTGGGAATGGATCCGAGTGTCGGAACGAGTTCTTCGAGTCCTGGACGACGACCGCAGCGGAAGAAGACATTGCAGGAACAACCGCCGCACCAGAAGCAGGGACGGGCGTGGGCAGCAGCGGTAACGAACTTTGCGAGAGCAGCGGGATGTCGAGATTGGGCGTCGGCGCCTGCCGAGCTTCCGGCTTGGTGTCTGCACCGCCAAGCCGCATGCTAAAGGCCGAATGCGCTGGACTTGGGGCTGACTGGCTCGAGTCCGGTTCAAGCGTTGACTCTGACGAAAGGGCCGTGGCGCTGGGGGACGATGTGGCGTGTGTGCTTGCGGGCGAGACGCCCACGCTCGCCTGAAGAATCGGGGCTGGCGATGGGGTGCCCGAGAGGTCCAAGCCTAGCGGCACTGACGACGCCTTGGCTGACGATGCCACGGGTGTAAATATGTGATTGGTGGGCCGTCCATGGGCTGCGACATACGCTGCATAGGTTGTCGTTGACGGCGACTTTGCAGCCGCAGTCTCGGCGGAGGCGATGCGTGACGGGGAAGCCGGCGGATCTGCATTGTTGACAACAGCAGAAAGCGGCGAGCCGTTCACGAACGCATCCGCTGACGGAGTTAAGGACGGCGTCAGTGTTGGGCTTTTGGGGGACGGAGTTGCGACAGGCGATGGTCGGTTGTCAAAGCTAATGGACGCGCTGGACGCTCGGCGCACAAAGATGGGCGAAGCAAGGCCGCTTCCACTGCTGGCGCCAAACGCCTTGAAGGAGCTGAGCGGTGTGACACGCGTCGCTTTGATGTTGAGCGGCGCCGAGGCGCCACCCTGTTGCACAGCAGCTGACAAGTGTTGCGCTGAGAGGGACATGCGCGACTTTTGGGCATTCGCACCCAAGGGACTGAACTGGGTGGCGCTTGACTCATCCTGAGGACTGGCCATTTTTGCAGCGCCGGGCTGATCACTGGACGCCAGCGCAACAATTCCACTGAGAGACGTGCTACGAGGGAATGTCCCATTCGACATTTTCGAGCTGCTTGGGGCAGAGCTGGCGAGGACAGTCTCGATGGAAGTGTCGGCAGACGATGGCGCTGAAGGCGGAGCAGCGCCCGGTTGGCGACGGAAGGTGCCGGTTTCGCGCGCCCCCGCCGTGCTGGTTGGCCATTTTGTCGTGCTGTCCAAAGTCAGCGGCGGCGTTGAATCCGACTCGTCGTCATCGCCGCCGGCTTCCGATGCCTTTTCCTCTTCTTCCGCCTCGTCTTCTTTTGCGTCCTCTTCTGCTCCTTCCTCGTCACTGGCTTCCTCGGCGAAGGAAGCGACTGCCGGACGTCCGATCAGCGTTAGCGACCCGCGACGCTGTGGCAGCAAGCTCTGGGCCAGACTTGTGACTGCAGGCGCTTGAAGAGGCGCCGGAGCGGCAGGCGACTCGGACGAATGGTGGTTGTCAAACTCAAAATTGAAAATGGCGTCGGGAGTCATGCTGCGCCGTGGCTGAGGGAGAGGCTGCACGGGTCCTCGGGTGGATGGAGACTGCGGCGCACTGCCATAGCCTCCGTGGTCTGAAACATCGAGCCGTACGTCCGGCGATGCATGGCCAAGGAATCCCTTGCCGGCGAGCAGGTGGCTCGCGTTCTTGGACGGCGATGTGCTGATGGACGGGAGATTGGTTGCTTCGCCGAGTCGGCCACCAGCCCCGCCGCTGCTCAAACCGCTCGACAGTCCACCGGAAAGCGGTGATGGCCCAAGCGACGACGAGTTCAGAGTGTGGGAGCGAACACGAGAAAATCCAGGCGAGCCTAGCGCGCCTGATTCAGGGGTGCTTGGCTTTCGCGGGGACGCGAACGGCGAGGATGAGGGTGAGGCGTTTCGATTGCGCGAATCGAACAGGCCGCCGCTGGAATTGCGGGCGCTCAGACGAGGGGCAAAGCTGCCACTTTCTGATGCAAGTCCTCTGGGCGAAGGCGCGTCGTCCGCACCGTCCTCCTCGAGGCGGGCTCGCAGCTCAATCAATCCACTGTCGGTGGATGGAAGCCGGTAGGGTAGCGAGTTTTTCCGCTTCAAATTGTTCAGCATGGGCGGCGGTTTCTTTTGCAACCGCTTCATGTGCTGGTGCGCGAGCAAGTAGAATGTCGCAGTGACGTGGTCATAGGCGTCGGACGCAAGTGACTTGAGCACAGTTTCGCGATCAATATCAATTTCTTTGAGGCGCTGGAAGACGAGCTCCTGCTCGTGCGGAGGCAAGTTGGCAATGTCAAAGACGGGTTCCTTGACCTCAATGGGGGTGTCGTCAGCAGCAGTAATCCACGCTGTTTGCTTGATCACGCTCAGTGACATGCGCTTCGTGGGTTCGACAATCAACATGCCTCGAATGAGGTCTGCGCACTCGCTGGACACGTGAGCGGGGATGGTAAATCGTCCTTCCATAATGTGCACGATCGTTTCCGAGGCGCCCGCTTCTTGAAAGGGCAGAGATCCGCACACCATCATGTACAATATGACTCCGAGGCTCCAGATATCTGGGGCGTTGAAAAAAATGGGGGAAGGTGGTGGTGGTGGTGGTGGAGCAGAGTGAGATCGTACGTTCAAACCAAATTTCCGGACCAAAAACAAACCCTCAGCCAAAACTCGAATTAGAGAAAAAAAAAACTTACCCACAGCTGGACCGTCATACTCGTCGCCAAGAAGCACTTCGGGAGGAGAGTATGCGAGCGAGCCGCACGCGGTTTGCAGCTTTTGCCCTTGCTCGTACGAGTTGGAAAACCCAAAGTCGGTGATTTTGATGGAGCCGCCGCTAAAGAGAATGTTTTCGGGCTTGAGATCGCGATGCACAATGTGCAGCGAGTGACAAAACTCGATGGCCGACAGAATCTGACGAAAGTACGACCTGGCCACGTCCTCCTCGAGCTTGCCGTTGCGCGTGATTGTTTCGTAGAGGTCGCCGCCGGCGCCCCATTCCATGATAATGTACAGTTTGGCTGCCGTGTCCATGACCTCAAACAGGCGAATGACGTGGGGGTGATTGAGGATTTTCATGCACCGCACTTCCTGGAAGAGATGGCGTTTGGCAACGTCGTCGAGCTTTGTCTTGTCGATAATCTTGACCGCGACCTGCTCGCCCGTGAACACGTGCTCGGCCAGCTTGACAACGGCAAAATGGCCACGTCCGAGCGTTTCCTTAAAGTCATACAATCCGACAAACTCGCCCGAGCTCGATCCCAGCGGCCGCATGCCCGGAACGCCCGTTCCGCCAGCGACGCCTTGAGCAGCACCGGTCGAGCCCATCATTCCACCGGCAGCCGCCCCGACACCGCCGCCGCCACTACTACTACTACTACTACTACTACCACCACTACTACTATTACTGGCAGTGTTTGCTCCACCACCGGCAGAGTACGGGCGCGAGCTGTTGACCTTGGCAATTTTGGCGACTGCCTCGGCGTTGACGCTGCTGCTGATGGGCGACTGTGCCGCCAGCAGCGAGGCCATCGTTGGAGACGCCAAGTTGGAGGATGATGGAGACGGCGTGGACGACGAAGGGCCCGCTGCTGATGCTTGGGCAGTCATCGAGGATGGAGGATGCAGTGGAGCAATGGAGGAGCTCCGGTCCCGCGTCGGCCGCTGGTGAGCGTCGCCCGTGGATGCCAGTGTGATATTCGCTCCACGGGATGCCGATGCCAGTGCGGACGGAGGCACAGCAGCAGCAGCAGCAGCAGCAGGAGCGGTGGCAGACGGAGCGGTCGGCTCGGGCTCGGCAGCGCCTGACGGTGCAGCACTGGCAGCAGTCCCTCCCAGAGACGCAAGCAAGCTGGCTCCAGACCCAGCTGATGCGAGGACGGGCGAGCCGGACGCAGACGAAGGGGAAGAGCCGGCAGCAGCTGCAGCAGCGACTGGGCTACCCGACATGACTGCTGCTGCTGCTGCTGCTGCACCAACTCCAGCAGACGATGCAGACGATGCAGCCGACGCTGGTGTCGATGTCGATGTCGATGTCGATGTCGATGCTCGTGCAGCGATGGCGGCCTGCTCAATGCTCTCTGCAGCGGCAATCGCCTCTTCGTCCTCTTCCTGCAGCTGCGACTTGCTTGTCGTCCTCCGCCGCCGTCGCGATGCTGTTCCTGCTGTTGTTCCTGTTGGTGCTGATGCTGGTGCTGATGCTGAGGCGGTTGTTGGCTCTGTGATTGGATTGTCGCTGAACGAGACGGTTGCTTTGCGTCTCCTGCTGCTGGCTGTTGGCGAGGCGAGCAAGCTGCCCACCGCTGCTGCTGCTGCTGCTGCATCGTCACTGCTGATCGATTGAGACTGAGTCGCAGCAGCAGCAGATGGGACGGATGCCGGTCGCTGCTGCTCAGCTCGAGCCGCGCCATCCTCGCTCTCCTCGTCCTTCTCCTCAAAGACGGTCAGCGACGGGGCTGCGGATGCGTGTCCAGCCATTTGTGGTGTTTGGTGCACGTCGCCCACACTCCCCGCGCTTTTGGTTGGCTGTTTGTTGTGTTGCCTGTGTTGACGGATGAAGAAGAAGCTGTGGGGTCGAAGAAAAGGGAGAACAATTGAAAAAGAAAAAAAAATGAATGGAGTTGCATTGGGATTTTGTGTTTGTGTTTGGTGGTGCATGTTCACAAACGCAAAACGCCGGAACACCGGTTCAAGTTGTAAACAATGCAGAAAAGGGCCTGCGAGTGAGTACTGGCGAGAAATGGAATCGGAACTCATGAAGCTTCTACGTGAAAAACCAAGAAAGTGCAGTTTGGACAAAACAAAAAGAGGGCTGCATTTGCATCTTGTAGAAAAACGAGGCCCATTTAACGATAGCCACGACCACCGTTGCCGCCACGACCTCCGCGCGAACCACCACGACCTCCGCCGCGGCCGCCGCCCTCCGAGCGCGGCTTCTTGTGCAGGTGCTTGCCAATATTGTGTTGTCGCTCTTCCGTGTCGTCGTCTCGGTCGTGTCCGCGTCGTTTGCCATTTCGTGGATCGTTCTCATCTCGCATTTGCTAAAGATAGAATTGAGGCGGGGGGGGGTGGAAGAAGCGGAGCAACGTGAGCCAAGCAGAAGAACTCGCCTTCCACAAACCCAAACCCAAAGCAACTTACAGTGATGGCCATCCGCTGAGCTTCGCTTGTGCGCTCCAACAACATCAACACTTGCTCTTCTTCGCTTTCGTACAACTCCATCTTCTTGTTGATCAGCTGTTCGATGCGCTGGAAAAGCTCAACGTCGTACCTAAAGACCCAAAGCAAAATACATCAGATGTTGGGATCGCGCATATTAAAATTGAAACGCAACAAAACACAAATCTCCCCCAACTTACTGAGTAACCATTGTGATGCTCCTGCCAGACCGGCCTGCACGGGCCGTTCGACCAACGCGGTGAATATAATCCTTGGAGTGGGTGGGAATGTCGTAGTTGATGACCAAATCAACGTGCGGGATATCGAGACCACGGCTCGCAACGTCGGTGGCCACCAAAATGGAGCGAGACTGCTCCTTGAACTTGTTCAGCGCACCGAGACGCTTGGGCTGAGTAAGCTGGCCGTGCAGTGGAATGGCGGGGAAGCCGAGGTTGCGCAACATGAGCGCCACTCGCTGCGCATTTGCGCACGTCATGGTGAAAATGATGGTCGAGTTGCCGGCAAGTTGGTTGAGAGCGTACGTCAAATAGCAGTCCTTGAAGCGCGCTGGAATGAAGAGGTACTGCTGAACCAATGTGCCGACCGTTTGATATCTGTGTACATTTTTGCCAGCGACAGGTTTGTGAATGAGCAGATGGAGGGATCGAATGAGCAGATGGAGGGATTGATCGTCAAACCACCACCAACAACCACAAGCAAAACCCAAAACGCAACAAATCACATCAGTTTGTCGTCCAAAACTGCTTACTTGGTGGCCACTTCGATCTTGACAGGATTGCGCAAAGAGGCACGCTGCAATTTGGCAACCTTGCTGGTCATCGTTGCCGAGTAGAGGTAGGTGTTTCGCTCCTTCGGAATGGCCTTCAGGATTTTGTCGACTTCTTCTTCGAAATCCATGTTGAGAATGCGATCAGCTTCATCCATGATCTGGCGGCGGCGCACCGCATGGGCAGCAAAATGACGAAAACAAAAACAAAAGCGATGAGCACAATGGAAGAAAGCAGAAAAACCTGCTCGCAATCCCGATTCTCACCAAAAACTTGAGGTTGCGCAGAGAAAAGCCTTTGGTGTTTTCCAAGTGGTCCACAATGCGACCAGGGGTAGCGATGAGAATGTGCGGCTTCTTGGACAGGGCAATGGCTTGGGTGGTCATGTCCATGCCACCAACAATAACGCAGCACTTGACGCCGATCGTCGAGCCCAACGCTTCAAATTGCTCTGAAATCTGGTATGCGAGCTCACTGCAAGATGGTTTTGGGGAGTGAGAATCATATTCGCGCAAAAAACAAAGCAATTTGGCGCATCTTACCGTGTCGGTGTCAAAATCAGCGCAAACAGAGGCTGTGGCTTCTCCAGCAGCTTCTGCAGGACGGGAAGGGCGAATGAGGCAGTTTTGCCCGAGCCGGTCTCGGCCAGGCCGATAATATCGCGGCCAGTGAGGGCAACCGGAATGGACTGTCGCTGAATTGGTGTCGGAGCTTTGAATCCCATTCGGGAGCACGCCTCCACCAACGATGGCACAATACCCTGAAAGCAAAACACAAAATAGAACAGTCATAGCAAAGACACAGGGATGGAGGGCGGGGGGGGGTGGTGGTGGAAACGAAGCGCAATGAGTGTTCAAGTCTGAGCAACTGAGCGCTTTTGAATGTGTCAGGCGTGTGAATTGCCTCGATCGACCTACAAGTGCCTGGAATGTCGTTGGGGCTTCCTCTGCCTGCTCTTCCCCTGCAGGTGCGGTGATGACGCGAGTGGCAGCCTCGTCATCGTCCTCAGCTTGAGCTTCGTCGTCGTCGTCGTCCAGTTCCTCGTCGCCGTCTTCGAAGGCTTCTTCATCGTCAATGTCTTCATCGTCAATGTTTTCATCGTCTTCCATGTCTTCATCGTCGTCGTCCTCGTCGTCGTCGTCGTCCGAGGCTGGTCGCTTGCTTCCACGTGGAGCAGCGGTGCTCTGGCTCGCAACGCCGCCGCGTGCACCCACTCCGCCATTCGCAGGGCGCGCGTCACGCTTGGCAACACCACCGGCAGCAGACGCAGCAGCGGCGGGGCGCATCGAGGGAGCAGCCTTGCCGGGCGCTGGCTTTGCGACGCGGGCAACTGGAGCGGCGGATTTCGGCTTGTTGGTGAACTTGCTCATTGGAACTCGCAATAAGAAAAAAAAATGAATGAGCCAGACCATGCTATGGTACTGTATCATACAGTAGATCGGTATGGGGTGGTTAGAGCGACAGGCGCAGTGCTATTGGGAAATCACTGAAGGAGAACGACCCAGCTGAGCTCAGAAATGGCAACAACCCCCACGACGCTCAGACTCTACATTTAATGTGCTGGACCTTGACAAAGAAAGATTCAACATTATCATGCGACCAAAATCATGCAACTATTTACAAAAGCAAACGCTCTCAGAGAGCAAAAGTGGCCATCTACACGAGCAACGCAAACATTGCCGCAACGGCTCCAAGGGCGGCCAGACTGGGAAGTGCAGCGGCATTCAGACCAGGAGCACTGTTTCCGGCGATATTGGCGCCAGAAGGTGCGACAATCGAACCAGAAGGTGCGACAACGGCACCCGAGGACGCCCCAGGAACGACCGACGGCGGGCTAGTCAGGCACAGATTGTTCGTGTCGCAGTACAGGCAGTTTGCATCACAGCAAGAGGTAGATCCAGCATCGTAGCAGGTAGCACATGCGGGGTCGCAAGCTAAGAACACGTTCGAGACAGAGAACAACGGTGAGCAGACTGCGAGTTCAAACCGAAAAGTCGGTGCGATATTTTGTGGACGTACGCAACGGGTCCTCGGCCGTGCCAAAGGTGCTCGGAGGTGCCGCGGCGCCAACAAACTCGTTCGGCACAAGGCTCACAAAGGTCAAGTTGTTCAAGCCAACGAACAGACCGGGAGGCAGCGTAGTCAGCTTGGTCGAGCTCAAGTACCTAGCAAATGTTGTCTGCTGAGTCAAAGTGCCCACCCAACGAGCATTGTGTGGCCCACGAGCTAGCCTTACAGGGAGCTCAGGCTTTGCAAACCATTAAAGACGTTCGCGTCGAGCGTTGCGATTGGAGTCGAGTCCAGGTACCTGACAGAGAGAGTGCTCATCAATATTCCATTCTTGTAGACCGTCCATGCTCAGCTCGAACGGATTGCTTACAGCGTTTCAAGATCAACAAGGCCAGTGAACCAACTCGCGGTCACGGTGGTGATCTGCGTGTAGCCCAAGTCCCTGCTCCCCCAAATACAAAACACTCCATGAATAACGCGGTGAAGGAGCATGCACACAAAGCTCAAAGGCGCGTACAAATAGGTCAGTTCTTTCAGGCCAGCAAAGGCGTTTGACGAAATTGCCGACAGCGACGTGTTGTACAAGCTCCTGGTGACAGAAAGCATTCAAAAACAACAACAACCGTGAGCAGCGAAGCCGCGAGCCACTCTCGCATCATCCAAGTCACTCACAAAAGCTCAAGCTCAATCAGGCCGCCAAACGTAGTGTCGGAAACGCTTGTAATCGCCAGGTAGTCCAAGTACCTGCCATACACAATCAGCAAAGTGAGAACACTGTGGAAGCGCCGTCGCTGTCACAAGACCTCATTTTTAGTTTACAGATTCTCAAGATCAACGAGCGCGCTGAACGCATTGTCTGGAACAGTGTTGATGAGCGTGTTATCCAGATACCTGCGGAAACGTGGACAAGGCCATTTCAGCGCAGTTAGCCTTCAAACTTGGGTCCAAACCCACTTTACGCGTTAAAACTCACAAAGTTTCAAGGCTGGTGAGACCAGAGATTTGGGTAACAGGAACTGCATTGATCTGAGTTGATCCAAGATCGCTGTTTTCACGGAAAGGTCAGTAACTAGGCAATTGTGCAGCAACTCCACACGCTCTCTGGCATACAGGTATTCCAGCAGCGTCAGTCCAGCGAAGGCAGCGTCCGAAACGGAATTCACTGACGAGTTGTAAAAGCTCCTGAAACGTGACCAGATTCGTGAGCGACTCTGAACATGCCTTCTCTTCACAGCGATGGTTTGATTCAAGCTTACAGGCTCAGGAGATTCACCAGGCTGTTGAAAGCATTGTCCGAAATCGAGGTGATTGGAGTGTTGTCAAAGAAGCTGGCAAGTTGCAGAAACGGAAAAGTAAGCGTGCTTGTTTGTACAAATAACACGAACCGCAATTGTTGATCATACAGCGCCTGCAGAGCGGCAAGGACGGTAAATGAACCGCTTGGAACGGCAGTGAGCTGAGTCGAGCTCAAGTGCCTATCGTGAGTTGCATCAGGTGAGCAAAGCGAGAACCAGCAAGGGTAGGCTCATATCATTTGTTTCTTGGCTTACAAGGATTGAAGCTGAGTCAAGGAGGCGAACGCGTTGTTGGCAACGTTTGTGATCGGGGAGCCGTCCAAGTCCCTGATTTCAGACACAAAAAGGTTGGTTGTGAGAGGGCGAATTGCACACAGGCAACTCCGTTTCTTTCAAAGCCGCCGCCTTCTTACAGATACGTCAAACTCGAGAGCCCATCAAACGCATTGTCCGGAAGATCTGTGATTTGCGGAGACCTCAAAGTCCTGTTGGGGTAACAAAGGCATTTTCCTACGGTCAATCTCGCGATTGCTTCTAGGCTCCATTGCTATTGCCCGCGTCACACTTACAAAAACTCCAAAGTGCGAACGAGCGCAAGTGAAGCAGTCGGGATACCCGTGACGAGAATCGATGACAAATGCCTGCGACAACGCAGTTGAGGTCAGTCGCCAGGTTCAATGCTCGTCAAAACTGTTCGAATCATACAATGACTGCAAGGAGCTGAGGCCACCGAATGCGTTGCTCGAAATGGTTGTAATGGGGCACGAGTCCAGGTCCCTAGAGCCAAACGAATTCAAGGTTAGCACGCCGTTGAAAAGGAGACGGCACTCACACACGCACAAAGCTGGCAAATCGCTTCCTTACAAGTAAAGCAATGTTGTCAGACCATTGAAACTGAGATCGGGAAGCGAAGCCACCTTGGCATTGGACATGTACCTACCCAAGAGCACAATCGAGGTCGACAGTCAAATTGCTTGGGAAAGCATGGCAGAAAGTATCCAAAGAAACAGGTCAGCGACTCACAAGTACTGAAGACTCGTCAGAGCGGCAAAGGCGGTCGTGGGGATTGCGGTCAGTTCAGTATACGAGACGTCTCTGTGAGCAACTCAAACGGCGTGACGGCAGCAGCACGGTGAGAAACAGTCTCGGCTTTCCCCCCTGTAAAACAAGCGCTCGTCACTACGCCGTACAGAGACACTAGCTGGGACGCGCCGGTAAATGCGCTGTCAGTGATGGCATTGATCGGGCAGCTGTTCAGATCGCTGGACAAACAAACGGTAGGGTCAGCCAAATATGAAACTAGACTGCGTTTCAGTGACGCCTGAGGCTTACAGATACTGCAGGCTAGAAATGCCGGCGAGCGCGTTGTCGGGAATGCTTGAAATCAAAGTGAATCCCAAGTAGCTGCAAAGTTCCGTCAGATGTGCCAACGCACTGCCACGCGTCAAGCTCGCAAGACACGTACAGAGACTGCAGGGAAGTCAAGCCATTGACAGCGTTGCTTGGAATGGCTGTCAGCAAGGTCAAACTCAGATCGCTACGAAGCAAACGGGTGAGACGGGGGAACCTCGACTTCCCTCGTAGATCACACGCATCGATCCGGCGTACATTGTGTTCAGGGAGGTCAAGCTGGTGAACGCGTTGTCGGGAAGGCTTGCAATCGAGGTATTCACGAGGCGGCTGGCAGAAAAAACACCATCAACTAGTGAGCACGACATGAGACAGCATTTGAACTGTCTCAACCGAGATCTTACATGTGCTGCAAGGACGTCAGGCCTGCAAAGGAATTGACGGTGACGGTTGCAATGGGGCAATAGTCCAAGTACCTAAGCAGCAGCAGCAGCAGCAGCAGCAGCGAATGCACATGAGCCAAGCCAACCGCGAGCAATCAAAACACAAATGTCTGATCCGAACAAACTCACAAGAACTGGAGCGACGGGAGCCCTGCGAATGCGTTGTCCGGAATGCTTTTGAGCAGCGTAAAGCTCAGGTCACTACAAGCGCGCGTTCCCACATACGTTCCAAGGCAAAGAGGTGAGCATGAATCTCATGACACACTGATCGTGGTGGCTGCTGTGACGTACAGGCTTTGAAGAATGGTCAGGCCGGCAAACGCGTTCGGTGCAATGTCCGCGATTGAAGTTCCAGACAAATCACTAGTTTCAAGGAGAGGAGCTCATGAGAAAACGTTTCAAGTTGCCAACGTCAACAAGAGAACCAGATTTGACCAAGCGTACAGGGCGACAGTGTTTGAGGGGATGTTGGTTGGAACGGTGGTGATGGTGCTCGAGCAGTTGCTGACGAACGAGTTCTGGCAAATGCACACGGTGCATGCGTCCTCGGCGTAAACAGGTTTCATTGACGTGCACGCAAGTAACACCCCGAGCAGGATGAATGCGCGACCTCCAGCCGCCAAATTGAGCTTCATCATAGCGTTGATTTTTTCGTATTTGCTGATCTCTGTGGCGTCGTGAACAGAGCGCAGAGACAGTGGCAAAATAAAAGCAACAGCGACAACAGCAACAACAGCAACAACAATAATCAGTCAAAAACCAATTGGACGAGGGAGTGCAAAGTGCGGCGTTCTTTTGAGGGTTGGCGAGTTTTGGTTTTTTTTTTTTTTGTTTGGCTGGCCCCTCGACACCGTTCTTCCGCCCCACACCTAGCCGTGATGTCCCCAGCCTGCCCATTGCCTAGAAGAACAGACTTCAATGCAGCGCGGATGAGGGGATTGATCAGTCCGACTTTGCCTTAGCGACGCAGATTGAAAAAAGCAAAAAAAAAAAAAAAACAAAGTTCGTTGAAGAACGCACGGAATTTGGTTTTGACGACTGAGCTGCTCGTGTTTGACGACACGAGGTTTGATGTTCAAATTCGACACGCAGCACATCTCTCATGTTCGGACTACATTTGGCAGGTGCACATCTCATACCTCGGCACATCCCACTCCACGCTCAACCCCGCAACCCAACCAAATTTCACTCAAGCGATCGAGTTTGCGAATTTTCTCTCGTGACTCGCCGTCAAGCACTGCGATGCAGTCGGAATAAATTGAACAATTGAACTTTTTTAACCGTAAGCGATGAGCTCACAACGAGGGGTTCAAATGACGCGTTGAAGTGTTCGACTTGTTTACCGCTTGTATTTGGAAAGTACGCTCGTCAAAAAGCGCGCAAACAACATTTACTCAGCATGCAATCTCAATACCTGTACATGTCAACAACAAAGCTGACCACTTCCCCCCGTCAAGAAACCATCCACTGGGACAACAGAGACGGTCTTCAGCTCTTCAGTGGCTCCAATAATGAATGAGCTGGAAATCGAGCGTTTTGACCCGCGTTTACACAAGCAGCGCCCACGCCGTCACCACAACGCTGGCAAAGGTCATCAGTGCAGTCGTAGAATCGGCGGCCGTCTCCGAAGCACCGTTGCCGTACGGAACGTATGGAGAGTCGATCGGCGGCGGCGGGACGTACACGGAGGACTCTGCGGGAGGAACATACACGGAGGACTCTGCAGGGGGAACATACACGGAGGACTCGGCCGGTGGGATGTAGGTGGAGGGCTTTTCGACGGACGAAGCATAGTACGAGTAGCTCGGAGGAACGGTCAAGCACGGGTTGTTTGTGTCGCAGTACAGGCAGTCTGTGCCGCAGCAGGCTGTGGCAGAGCCGCCGTAGCAAGTCTTGCACGTGTAGTTGCAAGCTAATCGTTGGCGACAAGCAAGTCCAGCGATGAGATCAACCAATTTGAACCGGACAAGCAACCAGTGCCTACAAAGTGAAACTCACGAAGCGGAGATGCCGGGGGTCCATAGGTGCTGGGAGGCGCAGCATATCCCGTAAAGTAGTTGGGCTCAAGCTTGACGAGCGTCAGGTTGGTGAGACCGTAGAACAAGCCCGGGGGCAGGGTGGTCAGGTTGTAGGCAGAGTACAGGTACCTGCCCAAAAGTAACAAAGTGTGGATCGCCATTTTAGTGCGAGAATGGACTCGGCAATGTCAATGCGATGATACGTACAGTTGGTACAAGCCGGTCAGCCCGGTGAAAGCATCAGCGGGGATGCTCGTAATGTTGGTCCACGACAGGTACCTAGGGTTGTTTTGTGCAGTCAACATCAGCCAAGGCTCAGGAGCTCAGGGCGTTTTCAAAGTCACGTTGGCTCCGAACTCTTACAGAATCTGAATCTTCTTGGTGTTGGTAAACCACTTGGGCCAGACGTGCTGAATCTTGGTGTAGTTGAGGTTGCTGTCCCAAAAAACCGAAAAAAATGAACAAACAATCAAGACCATTTCATTGCCAGCCACTGGAGCGACACGTACAGATACTCGAGGTTGGTCAGGCTTGAGTACGCATTCTCTGAAATGTTTGCGACACTGCTGTTGTAGCAAGACCTGCGGGGAACCAACATGTGAGGGTGAGACTGCAGAACTGAATGCGATAATTCCAAGCCAGACTAAAAACGCACAGGAAGGTCAGCTCGCCGAGACCAGTAAAGCAATTGTCGTTGAAGACCTTGACCTTGCAGTAATCCAGCCAGCTACATTGCAGAACGGTTGAAAATGAGTACGAAAGCTTTTGCTCTTTTCCCCACACATGTTTTTTGTTTTTCGCCAATTCCTACAGCGCCTTCAGCTTGGGGCACGGAGAATAGACATTGTCAGGGATGGTCTCAAATGTCGTGTTAATCAAACGCCTGTGGAAAGAAATCAGCAATGAGCACGACGAGTGGCAGCGAAGTTGGGGTTTCTCGCTCGGCCATCTTACAAGACACGCAGTTCCGAGAGACCGGCGAATGAGTTTGTCGAGAGCTGGGAGATCGGGCAGTGCGAAAGGTACCTAAGGGCATGCCAGCACTGTTAGCTCAAGCTCGAGAGCAAACAACAGGCCAATACAAGAACGTACAGATTCTCCAGAGCGCTGAGGTCGGAGAACGAGTTGTCCGGAATCGATGTCAGCTGCGTAAAGGTGAGGTTCCTGTGCGGAAGCGAAACGGAAGGTGAGGACTTCTTCCAGACCAGCCGAGCGTTCGCCTGCACCACTTACAAGGTCTTCAAAGCGGTCAGGCCGGCCCAGGCGTCGACACCAATCTCGTTGATTTGAGTGTTGGACAAGTCACTTGATTGGTGGTCCAGAACGATGCAGTTCAGTAAATACTTGTCGATGAACTTACAAAAAAGTGCAAAACTAAACAAACAAAAACACTCACAGCAACACGGTCGTCGAGGGAATGGCCGTCGGAATGGTCGTGACTGTGCTCTGGCAGTTGGTGACACTGTCGGCGCCGCAAACACAGACAGTGCAGGCGTCATCGGCGAGCGCACGTCCCGAAAGACACGCCAGACAGACAAGCAAGAACAGCGCAAAGCGCGTGGAAGATTTAGAGTTCATGGACGAAGCGTTTCTGAAATCAACGAAACCGGAAAACGAGGTGAGCCTCCCCAAAATTACTACTTGCGCTGCGAAACGTGCGCACAAAAGGGGTGTGTATGTGTATGTGCATGTGTGCGTGCAGTTGTGCGCACTCTGTTCGAAGCGAAAAGGTTTTTTTGGTCGTCGACGTGCTAACTTTTTATCACACATCAACTCAGGTTTCCAAAGTCGGAAAACTTCCCGGCGAGAATGGCAAACCTTGACGACACGCCCCTCCACATGGTTGATGTGGAGCCAACGGGTGGCGTTGATTTGTTTGTCAAGAAAACAAACAAAACAAAAGCATGGCGATGGAAAACCTTTCGTCAGCCAGCGAAAAAGCGAGAATAAGGGGCGTTTCGGATTTCGGTCTCAGGTGTTTTTTGTTGCCATTCAGGTATTGGGCACCATCGCCCCATGGACCGTGCATTGAACACCACACTCACCACAATATAACACGACAAAGATGGTGTTCAGGCCTTTCCCAAAAAACAAGACTGGCGTTTCTCCATTGCGCATGTGTTGATGTCGACGGGTGCGAAAGCGCAACGATTCAACCGGGGTGGCGTGGATTGCGATTTTTCCAGCGTTTTACTTTGGTGAATTGATTTTGAACATTCACCCTTGCTGTCTGAGTTTTTTTTTTTTTTTTTTTTTTCCCATCGTTTTGCCACATCTCTCTCGCGTTTTCCCTTCCCTGGTTTGTTCCTTTCCCTTTCGTTCCTTGGCGTCCCGCCTCAATCAATATTAACGCAAGTACCAAACCAATCTCAGCGCATGCTCACTTCTCAATATCATGCTGACTCGGGTTGCCTTTGTGCTTGGCGCGCTGCTGCTGTTCAATGCCGCGTACTCGACCGTGCAATGTAACCCAGCGTCGCTCCATCTTTGATTCGAGTGATTCGCCCAAAGCACTCAACTCACCTGAATCTGACTTGAAACTGCTTTTAGATCGCAACTTCCTGAAGATGGCCGAGAAGGACCAGAGCGGGCTTCCCATTGACGTGAGTGTGTCGCTCTGCTGCCGGACGATGACGCCGCGACGAGATGGCCCGAGTTGCATGTCACATTGCAGTCCACACTCAAAAGTGGCGCATGCAACAGTGGAAGGGCGCAGGGAGAAGAGGAGAAGGAGAAGGGGGCAATGGAGAAGGGGACGACTCTGGACTCGAGCCCCTTCTCTGCCCTGCTCTGCCCTTGCTGGAGCGAAGGCGCAATGATGGATGACAATATGCGAGGCATTATGCAATATGGACGCGGATGTCGATTGGATGGGATAGCGGGGTTCGTCAAAACGGCTGCTCTCCAATGCACCGCTCGCTCATGCACGCTGACCATTTGCACAGATCGTGCTGCAAACATTGGCCGCCATGGTTCTCGCTACATGGGCAATCGTCGAGTACACTGCGCCATTCAAGAATATTCACGGATCGAACGAGCGAGTGTACGTTGCTTTTTCGGTCGATGCAAAGCTTTTGTATTTCAACTCGCTCACTCTCTCGCTCGCTGCTGCCAAATCCCTTCGCTTGCATGTTCGGGTGCTGTAATCACAGACGGTACGACGCTGTCGACAATCGACCAATCTTCTACTCCTTCCAACATCGTGGGGCTCTCTTGTTCAAGAAGCAATAAGAAAATGTTTGCTCGACCAAACTGTCCCGTCTATTGTCACATTACATACAAATCACATTTACAGGAGCAGGGAAAAATAACACACGATGCGCGCATTTCGGGGTGCAAAGGCACTCGAGCAGGGAATCAACTACAGAGTACAAAAAAACGTCTCAAACTTAAAAAAAAAAAGTCTTCCCGCTCTCCAAAAGCAACGGCAATCGCAAAGAAATAGCAATAAGCGTGACACAGCAGCGATCAAGCAATTGAAGTGAAGAAAATCAAGCAGAAAAAAAACAAACAGCGCTTCAACAAAAAAACATCGAGCGCATCAACGACGAAGCGCGAACAGCAGCAAGAAAATTAAGCATGCTGCAATGACCAGACCAAGAATAATAGCGTCACGCCGTTTGCGCAAGTTGATTTTCTGCATGAGGTTGTTGAGCTGGGGAAAGCGGTCTGTTATGCGTGGCGACCAAGTGAGTTGAAGAAACTACAACAAACGAACAAACCACCAATCCAAAACGTCAAAAAATGCGGCGACTCAAACTTACTGAAAACATTGCCCATTCGGTTGTTGATGTTTTGAAAGGTACTTCGCTGCTGAGCCATCGACTCCTTGGCGTTAATGGCGATACTAAATGCAGAACAGCCAAAATATATGGTAAAAAATGAGCGCTTTTGCTGTTTCAAACAGCGCATCAAGCGCACGCCTTACCCAATGGCATCATCGGCCACACGCTGGGAATTCATAAGATGCTCATTCTCTTTGGCGAAATAGTCGGAGCGACGTTGGAGACCCGAGCTTGCCTTGAAGGACGAAATGTCCCGTCGGACCGAGTTTAGCAAGTCGTCGCGCTCTCGATTGGCCAGGAGCGTGGACTTTGTTTTTCGAAACTCTTGGGTGTAGTCTGTGAGGATGTCGCGATGCCGCTGCAGCGTGTGCACGAGCGCGGGGTTTGAAAACTGGCTCATGTTGACATGTTCGGTCATGGCCTCGTTCACATTGGACAGTTTCACCAGCAACTGCTCCAGCTCAATTGCCATCGTGTCTGCCACATGTTCGCTTGTCGACGCCGCCAGCAGCGGGACGCCATCCGCCTGCGACGACGATCTGAGAGAGTTTGATTTCAAACAAGGGGGTGAGTTTGACAAACCCCCAGGCAAACGTTCTCCTTCACACTGTACTTTTTTTTTGCTTTGTTCGATCTTCTTCAATAATATCTTACGTTGCATGATCGAGCCCTGAAAACCCAGCAGCGAGCTTGCCGAACGAGACGAGCTTTGTGTCAATCTCGTTTTCCAGCTGACGGGCTTCCCGTCGCAGTTCTGCCAAGTGTTCAAAACAGCGGGTACGCGTTAGTGAGTTTGTTGCATCTGAAGCATCCCTCAACGCTGCCGCGAGGAGCTGGAGACGCTCACTGTGCCGCCATTGCAACAGGGCCAAAGCAAAGTTGTGACGTGGATGCGAAGCGCGTCTTGCCCCCACTCTCCCAGACGCTCGGCGCCACCTTCCACTCAAGCCTCAATCCAATGGCCGAAGCATTGCTGATCGCAAAGGGGTCCTTCGGGGGTTTATTGCCGCTCGCTCGGTGGACGACAACCAAGTTCCATTCACTTCAGCCAACACTTCAGCCCTCCGGACTGACCGACCCCTCCGACCGACCGTGCGTTCTCACAACAAGAGCAACGCTGCCTCTTGCCAAAAGCAAAGCCCCAATGAGGCGGGAGTTTGATCAGAGGAGATGAAGAAACTCGCTGACCTTCAGCCCAGTTTCCACTCATTTGCTTAGAACTTGAACTGAGCCAAAGCCAAAGTCAGCCAAACAACACAAAGACAATAATACACACGTTCAATGGTACATGTCTCTTTATTATAATGTGGATTTCTGAGCACCTCAGTCTCACTTTTTTTCCAATACAAACACACACACAATGTCCAAGCCTGCGAATCCGGAGTTGAAAAAGTGCGCCTTTCCCCGAACCCCCAACCCCCAAATCGCTTGCAGTGTTGCCTTGTTCTCTCCATCGACCATGCCGGCGGCAGAGTTGAGCAGAAGCGCGCGCGAGAGAGGGAGAGAGGGAGAGCAAAGAGGGAGCAATGGAAGGCGAGATCTCGGTTGCTTTCTATTGCTCGTCGATCGAGGACCGGCCTTGGAATGAGGCGGGGCGGATGACTGGATGTCCTTCTTGAAGTTGATTGGACCTGGATGTGAGCCTTGAGCTGCGGGGGTTGTAGGGGACGGTTGGTCTATGCAGCATGGATGGCAATGGTCGTCCTATGGTCGTCCTATGGTCGTCTTCCCCATATCCCTCCGCTCTGACTGTGACTCTCGACACTTTGCTCATTCAATAGTTGCAACATTTCTCACTCATCTTTTGATTTTCTGATCTTGTTGGCTTTTTTTAGGTTTCTTGACCGACGTGTCATTCGTACGTTTTTTGTTTCACGCTCAAGGCTTTTTGAACATCGTTGCAAGCGCACATTACAAGTGCGAGTTAGAATGTTGCTGACTTACTGTGGAACGTTGGTTTGTATTTGGAATGCTTTGTTGTTTTTGTTTTGGTTTTGTGGGGGTGATGCAGTCAAGCTGAACGGAAACCGTAAGGTCAGCGGCATTCTGCGTGGTTTCGACCCCTTCATGAACGTCGTCCTCGACGAGACCTTTGAGGAGGTGTCCGAGTCAGAGCGTCACGAAATCGGCATGGTGGTGAGTGGCCTTGTTTGCTGTTGACACTTGCTTGTTGACTGCACATCATAAAACTCATCTCGTGTGTGTGTGTGTGTCAACAGGCCATCCGAGGAAACAGTATCAACATGGTCGAAACCGTAGACCGGTCAGGCTGAGGAAGGTTGTTGTGCTGCCACTTTTGCTTGTATGATGAATTCAAGTTTGAATTGCTGTGCGTTGTGTTGTGCTTCCTGCTTCCCCCCCCCCCATAAACATGTTAAGTCCTTTTGGGTGGTCTTTGATACTTGCTTCTGGCAACGCTTGTCTGTTTGCACGGAACTGAGAGCGCTGCTTGAACAACAACCATAAATCATTTGTACTACCAACAAAAACAAATCTCTGTGAATCACCCATCAAGCCCGCGATTTGCTCTTTTTCGATGACTTTGGCGTAGAAGCAGCAGGAGCAGACTGTTCCGTGTCCATCTCCATCACATCCGCGCTCTTGCTGCTGCTGCTGCTGTGCTTGGAAGGGGTCTTGGCTGTGCCATTGTCACTGCTGACGCTGTCGTCCGCAGACGCGCCTGAAACACGCTGCTGGTGACTTCGGATGCCTTGCTCGAGCACGCCCAGTTGGCTGGCGGTGGTTGCTGGCACGTTCAGTGCGTTCGCATGGCGCAGGAACGTTGCGAGCTGGCGACCAGCCTGCGACGCGGATATCTACAAAAACAAAACCGAGCGCGCCATCACTCGTCAGTCACATGTGCTCTCTGCTACTACAATACGGGATGAGGAGTGTGAGTGAGGGGGTAGCGGAGGGGGGGGGCGTTGGATCATCGTCCTCATGGCACACACTCACACACATGGTGCACTCACTCTACCCCCCCCCCTTCAAGAGGCTCAGATCAGGTCATCCCCGCCGCTCACACACACACTTGTTGTTGGCTCTCCTTATCGACTATCAGCATAGGCGGGCAAGGCGGGCAGAGTTCACTCACAGGGGTCGAGTTCAAGACTTCCATTCGAATTTGTGTGTGTGTGTGTATGAGAGATTCAGTGAGTCAATTGTCAAACGAGGAATATAACTGGACTGAATAGTAATAGTAGTAATAGTAATAGTAATAGCAATCATGTCCATGAAGCGTCAGTAGAAACCGAGTAGCTGAGAACTCCCGCGCTCAACTTCCAAATCATCATCATCCTGGGCCCCCCCCCCTTCTCAAGTACGCTTCCCATGTCACATCATGATTGACTGCATGAATCCCTTTTGTGATGATGCACTTCAGTCTCTCTTCTTTCGTC